CTATAGCCTAATGATTACAGGCTCCCTAACGACGCCAACTTTCCTGCATATTTTTACCATTTTTAAGTTATCGCATTCCTTACAATTAGCCTTCGGGCTAATGAGTATGTAAATTAAAAAATGTTTTAAGCTGTTTTGCGATTATACCGCGGCTTTACAGATACAGATAGTTACTGCAATACATTTATCCGAAATATATGATTGTGAGAAGTTTGTGTGACGACAAACGGCAGACTGACTTGCCCCTGCAGCTGTGTGATATTGCCACCTCCCGTACATCCTGTGTAAGCCTAACTCCTGCCGCTGCTATCTGTCTTACTCCTGCAGATAAGCCCTCCCCAGTCACTACGTCAAGATCAATGTCGCACCGTGTATACAAGATGGCGGCCGTGTGTGCGCCAGTAGCCTAGTTATCAGTCTCCATAGGTCACGCGGCTTAGGGGTACTTTACTAGCCTCTACCAGGCTTCGGGAGGCGGCTGGAAAGAGTAGAAATCGGCCAAATAAGAGAGATAGCATGCCGGGGTGCGGCAAACTGTTCTCTCCCATCAGACCAACTCCCCTGGCATGCTCTCTTATTTGGCCGATTTCTACTCTTTCCAGCCGCCTAGCTCCGGAAGCCTGGTAGAGGCTAGTACTTTACCGGTCCCAGATTAGCCTGGTTACCAGTCTTCATAGGTTAGTCCAGGGGTGTTTACAGGCCCCAGTCTAGCCTGGTTATAGTTCTCCACAGGCCGGTTTAGGGGTGTTTTACCGGCCTCAGTTAAGTTAAGGCCTCTCCTGACATGCTAGATATTTCTAGCCAGCCTTTTTAATTTCTGCCGTCCTGCAAAATGTGAAACCGACCCCGCTGCCAGGCTAGAGTGGTGACCCTGCGGTGGCCTGGCTGCCAGGCTATATAGAGCGCGCTGGACAGAGATACTGGGGAGCCTGCGATGGTCTGTCTGCCAGGCTAGTGTGAGATAGACAGAGCTTCCGGGGAGCCTAGCCTTTACCAGGCTTCGGGAGACAGCTGGATGCACTCCCAGCGGACCAAATCTCCTGGCATGTTATCTCTCTATTTGGCCAATTTCTACTCTTTCTAGCCGTCTCGCTGCCAGGCTAGTGTGGTGACCCTGCGATGGCCTGGCTGCCAGGCTAGCGTGCTCCGGGCGGTTCTGATCAGCCTGATACCCACGGTGCGTCCGTCAAGCCGGGTCGCCAAGTCCCGATAACGTCATACGACCTCCGGAAGTCTGCTAGAGGCTACGTAGAGCCTACGCTGGTCTGGCAGCCAGGCTAGTGTGGTGACCCTGTGACGGGACTGGCAGCCAGGCTAGGTGCGCTAGATAGAGGTACCGGGGAGCCTGCCGACGGTCTGGCTGCCAGGCTAGCGTGCTCCGGGCTGTTCTGATCATCCCGATACCCTCGGTGCGTCCGTCACGCCCGCCCGCCATGTCCCGATAACACCAGGCGTATCACTGCCGGTAACATGTCCGCAGCAGAAAGGCCGCGGCTCCCGGCTTAGCGCGATAACGGGGTCGGACTTGGCAGTGAACATGGTTGTCACTGCGGGTGCGATACAGATAACGTACGGATTTACTCAGTCTTTCAGCTCACGTTTCTGTCATGCACTGCCTTTATTTCTCCCTCACACAAATGCAGTTCGGAATAACTACAAAATATACATGTACCATGAGGTCAAATATGTGCCAACACGACGATGATTTGGGCAATTAAGTGTACGCCAATAATTAACTAATGATTCTTTTATTTAGTACAGTAATGTACGGATTTACTCAGTCTTTCAGCTAACGTTTCTGCCATACACTGCCTTTATTTCTCTCTCACACAAATGCAGTTCGGAAAAAACAACAACCAAGGAGCTTATACAAAGAAAGGATATATACCATAAGGTTAGATATGTGACATGACGATTATTAACTTAATTACATGTACACGTACGGATTTACTCAGTCTTTCAGATCACGTTTTTGTCATGCACTGCCTTTATTTCTCTCACAAATGCAGCTCGGTATAACAACTTCGGAATAACAACAGCTAAAAGATATATACCACAAGGTTAAATATGTGCCAACATGACGATGATCAAGTTAATTACGTGTACACTTTTAATTAACAAATAATTCTTTTATTCACGACCGTATAAATCATATAGTCTATGAAACTTCAATACACTATGAAAACGTTATCTACAGTAAGGCTTAAAGAATCCGAGTTAAGCAAATATTATTGCTAATCGATCAATCTTTGCGCAGCGTTAGATCTGTGCTGCCAACACTCACCCGTCCGGTACCCCACTTCCGTTTCCGGTCTCACGTACGGGCAAAGCATGACGGGCAGCGTTGCCCAGAAATGTGCCCAAGGCCAAACAGAACCGTGACGTCAATTCTAAGTCACGTGACGCATGACTACAATCGGTAACCTTGAACTCGGGTGATATTCGTTTCCTTGGAATGAAATATGAAGAAACCACATCAGAATAACGTTCCCTTAACCTTGAACTTTGACCTCTTATATAATTATAGTAAAATACACCTTCAACGATAAATATAAGTACACCTATGACGTATTACACCATAGAGAGTAAATACGGTGCCCATATATGACATAATTTTAACAACTCTAGAGGTAAGAAAAAGAACACCTATATATTCATACATTCGGAGATGCGTACTATCCAATGAGAGGTTTATTGGTGACCTTTTTCTGTGTGCTGTTTTCTGACAGCTGCCCCGGGAGTATTGTTTGGTTGGCTGGCTGGTTGGTTGGTTGGTTGGTTGGTTGGTTGGTTGGTTGGTTGGTTGGTTGGTTGGCTGGCTGGCTGGCTGGCTGGCTGGCTGGCTGGCTGGCTGGCTGGTTGGTTGGTTGGTTGGTTGGTTGGTTGGTTGGTTGGTTACGACTTTGATCTGCTTGAAGATTAGCTGGCCAATGGATACTGTCTTGCCACCGTATGATCTGCTTGGAGATTATAATTGTTTGTCGGTTGGTTGATCACAGCTTTCTTTGCCACCGCGGAAAGATCTGTTTGAAGATTAGATACCCGCATAGTTAACACTGTAAGTTGTTTTTTCCTCGCCAAAGGTCGGCGGAAGTGAGTCAGGCAGGTTTTCCTGCACGGGCAGTTTGATCTGCACCGACCGGTGTCTGTCTCTGTGCCAAGGGTCGGGACCGTACTGGTGTCTGCCAGGCTCCTTTGCAGGCTGAATAAATAGTATAGTAATGAAGTGGTGATGATGTATATAGCCTTATTTAATTTTAAGCTGTGTTAATATGTTGTAATTGTTGTCAATGTATTTATGTTTGTAAATTTGTGTCAAGTGTGTCTTGAAGGACCACAGGAAGAATAGCTACAATACAATTTTCGTAAGCTATCAAAGTGTGGATCGCAATAAAGACAAGTCAAGTAAAAATCTGCCTCAAAAAGGGATATGACTGGCCAGGTGAGTTTAGCCTGCAGGCAAACTTGTCCTTCTATGTCCCTGGTCAATGCATTATATCCCCTTTTTAGGCCCATTTCTACCATCTATTGAGCCTGCAAAGAAGTCTAGTGGAGGAACCGGGCAGGGAGCGACAGGGACCGTACACGTCTCTGCCTGACTTCTTTCTACGCTAAATTCAGAAAGGCAGTGGTATTACGTTAAATTCAGCAGTCTGGGTTTTCTTTGTGATAACTTAAGGGCCCAAGTAGGCCCTGCGTAGTTTACATCAATATTATGCTCTACTTTGTTAAGTTTTAGCGGTCCGGCTACGGGTAACATGGAAGTAGTGTACGAAAGTAAATAATAGACTTCAAGCTCTAATAAACATCAAGCTCTACGTAAAAGGGCATGCCGCCTATTTTGGGGGTAAGATGTTGCCCTTGCGACATCTCTAGACAACAACAACGTTAGCAACGACCAATCCCCCCCCCCACACACACAAAACAACAACAGAAGAAAACCGTTCCAGTGACTACCCGACTTTGGTGCGACAGGGTTGTTCATAGTTGGATGGTTCCGGCTCATACACAGTGTAATAAATGTATGAATGTACATGTTGCAAAAACAGGTGTAAACACTGCGTCTGACCCTTGTATCTGCTTGGAGGTTACGTCATACTACCCTAGCCATTGTGTCAGTTCTGTGTGTGCGTGAGAACATCATTAGGCTTACTAAGCTTACAGAGAGGTCTCCTTTCTTTGTTCAGAGCGATACGGATCTTTATAGCTTTGCTCTGGGGAATTTGCTTATCATAGTGAGCTGTCAATGGCTCATTTCTTGCGCAATTGACTAAATCGACTTGATGTGCATGGGGAGAGTGGTGCTTAGGAAGGGACAATAAGCCTAGTCTCCACCAGACTCCTTTCTAGGATAAAATAGATAGTAGAAATTGGCCTAAAAATGCATGTAACAGGCCAGGGGGTCCAATGTGCCTGCTATGACCGGGCCCCTGGTCAGTTACATCCCTTTTAGACCGACTTCTACTATTTATTCAGCCTGCAAAGGAGTCTGGTGGAGACAACAATAAGCCCTCGGCTCTGTCACTGTGTTTAAGATTTACCTCACTTAATTATAGGTAATGGCAGGCTCCCTTCCCGAAATGCTCTGGCCACAAAACGACACTCCGGACTACAAAAAAAGGCAAAGAAGATTAAGCTTTTCTGTGCAATTTCTTGTTAGGAACATGAGGTATCTACCGCCGTACTTAAAGCCATAAAGTTACGACATCTTCCTAGCATCTGCTTGGAGATTAATCTGCCACATTAATATATTCCTGCCCCCTTCGCCATGTCCAAGCAGAAGCTGGTGTAAGTTCATAATTATTTCCAGACAGTCATAATTCCTGTGGCACGCAGTATCAACGTTTCGAGAAGCTTAAGCACTACCGACAGAAATCGCCTTCCTACATCTGCTTGAAGAACCGTCCTCCTTGGAAACTTCGGCAGCTAGCAGCAAACTTTCTCCGTCACGTGACCTGTAGCCCCGCCCCTCGCGAGATTTGATATAAAGCCTGCCGGAGGCCGCTCGGACCGAACTCGGCTGTCGTCAGCAGACCTGGGTTAATCAGTGCTCGTTAAGGCTCGTTCTGTGCTCGGTACGGTCCCGCCATGCGTCCTCTCGTCCTACTCGGTCTGGCCGCGGCTCTGCAGGTCGCCTACGCCGGCATTGGCTACAACGTGCTTTACCAGTGGTCCGAAAAAATACACGAGCAGGGGTGAGTCACTTCCCAAGTCCTTTCCTTCATAGAAAAGTTGGTAAAGTTTTAAAAGAAAGTTCTTTCTTATCGTTTATTGTCTGCGAAGCGCCACGTCAAAGGCTGGGTGTAAGCTACTCTCCAAGCAGAGGTTGGTGGGGAAGATCGTTACCTTTCTAAATATGCTCCAGGTTTTTGTCGTTTTTTCTGTCGCTACCCCCTCTGGTTGAGGTAGCGACAGAAAAACGGGGTATGTATAAAAAGGTAACGATCTTCCCCACCAACCTCTGCTTGGAGAGTAGACGTCCCGACACCAACAACAGTTGGAAGTGATTTGAGGCTTTAAGGATCTTTAAGCATTGTGGACTTGAAGGAGAAGGTGTTTGGGATCATGTTACTCGGCTGAGAGTAACCCCCGCCAGCTCTTTTGCTGTGATTAAGCGGGGCGGATTGAGCTTTGTCCGCGGCGTGGTTGTTTTTTTCCCGCTGGCTGTGTGATCAAAGTTTTGCCACCCCGGTAAACACCATCAGACTGCGGTGCGGCGATCCGGCCTGGCGCAGACTTGAGCTTCCGCCAAGTTTGCAACATGACCGTCCTCATGTCGCGACACTGCCGAGCGGAGGTGTAGCGCCCGTCAGCTTCGCTACATCATCCTCTCGTTTGTGGTTTTCCGCTCGCTTTCCAATAGTCGGTCTTATCTTCTGTTTGCCCAGTCTTTGGTCGCGGTTTTATCGCCTGTTTGTCTTCGTTTGGCCCCTAATGACCCCTGCTAGATTGCATTGTGCCCTGATGTGTTTGGCAAACTTCAGCTGGAGTTTGCTACAATTCGGTCCAGAGTTTGCTACAATTGTGTCGGGCGTGATTATTTGCGGCGTGATGAAGACAGACAGGCGGTCTGGTGAGTCAGCGGCCGGCCGGAAAAGTCTGGAACAAATAACAGACGACCTTTCAAGTTTAAACCTTCGCTTTTTCCAGTCGAGGACACAGATGCCCTGGGGGGAAGGGGGGGGGGGGTACTAGGGACTCTCCCGACTATCCTGCATTCCTCATTTTAATCGCTTTTTCGATACCAAAATAACAAAGGAAAACATAAAAATCTTTAAATGTGAGATCGCAAGGTTTCATTTCCCGTCATGTAAAACCTAAGATTGCGTCATCACCATGAAGTTTGCCTGTCAGCATTTGTGCGTTTCCATGGCACCCCGGCGTCGCAATAAGCATGCGTCATGCCGTTGCCATGGGGACATGCCGTTGCCATGGGGACATGCCGTTACTATGGAGACAGGCCGTTGCCATGGGGATATATCACACCAGCCATCCCGCCATCTCAGCACTTCTTTTCTTCATCAAAGTTAGAAACTAATTAAGCCATAACGATTTATTTGCCGCGTCAATTATTACATGGTTACAAATGCATCAGGGTCGGGGCATATTCATCGTACAATAGGCTAACAACACAAACAAAATACACAAATTGTAGATCCCTGTCGACGGTCTGTTCTGTCAGCTTCACTGGAGATATTCTAAACCGTAATGTTTCAAGAAAGAGTAACATTTATAATTCATCAGTCTTTTAAAACATAATTACTGTTAAAACATAATTAGGTAAATGTACATGGTCGTGTGACTCCAGTCCTGCAAATAAAATTTTAAAAAAGAAAACTGCAAATGTACCCGCACCTTAACAACGTTGTCTGCCATAACGACTTTTTTCTGACAAGTTATTCTCTCACCTTTACAGACCTAATGTGTGCGCCGTGGAGGAGGTCTCCGGCACGAAGAAACAGTACTGGACAAACTGCAGGACGTTTTGGAACCGCCAGATTTGCGAGAGACAGACGTGAGTACGACCTCTGACGTGTTTCTCTTTACAACATCTCTCTCTCTCTGTCTGTCAGTAAGTCTCAAGAGACTATGACCAACTGCGCAAAACAAAACATGATGGCTCATTCCTAGTTACAAGACAAATCAGACTTATCTTACAAAAATAACGTATAAAATCATCATCCTTATAATAAGGTCACCAACATTATTACACTTAGAACTGTTTTGTTGGGAGGGTGTGAATGAAATCCCGAATGGTCACATGAAACGTCAGCCCTCCCACCCATCCACTATATACAGTCTGTACTGTAACACTAAGTATCAGGTTACATGTCTTCCCGCGCGCGCGTTTGTGGTTTAGCTGCATTACTCTAGAAACTATAGATGTATATTTTCTTCAACGTGGTGTCCTATATCAGGTATTGTTGCCTGGATAGCCACTCTATTGCATTTGTCGCAGTTGCATTAGTCGCAATTCCGAATAAACAAATATGGACGGATTGTTATGAAATTCGGTTATGCTTGGTTATGCCTTGCAAAACATATATATAGGGCCACATGCACACATAACAACAATATAAGAGTGCTTTGTACAGTGCACCCCCCTCCCCTTGCCCAATGTTGCTATTGACTAGTAAATAATTACCATATATATGTATATAATGACCTTGAAACTTGAACGGAGAGATCATAGCATGTCAGCACGGGAGACAATGGCTTATGACAAACAATGAAGTATTGTGACTTCTATAACTATTCGACGGACATATGTATCAGTCAAAGAGAGCTAGAAGCGCTTCGTAGTGCCTTCGATATATGTCTGTATTAGTTATGTTGGAAATACAAAAGGTTCTGTCCTACCTTGAAAGGAGTTTGCAGACTTACCGTTGATTACGGTGCAGAACATGGAGACTCCTGCGGTCCTTACTTTGCAACGCCAGCCTGGACTGGAGGTTTTTCTTCATGGCATTGTGGCGATGCTGACTCCGTTGAGCACTGGTTCCCAAACTCAGTTCTCGCTATTTACCTTCAGCAAGAGTGACCGTCTGTAATAGGTTCTACCAGGCTCCCAAGTTGTTGAAAAAATACAGTAGTAGAATTTGGCCAAAACAAAATACTAAATGCCACAGGACTTAGCCATCAGGAGAAGTTGCAAATCGTACTCCTCTGGCCGGCTAACTCCTCTCGCATACTATTCAGTCTATTTTGCCAATTTCTAGTATTTTTTCCTGAAGACTGGTAGAGGCTTTAGTCGGCCATCCCACCTAGTAGCTGTAGACTCATAAGAAAAGTCAACCTCACCACCCACCCACTTGATACAGTCTGCACGACTACTCAGTAACGGGGTATCAGGTTACATGTCTTCCCGCGCGGAAATCTGAAAACACTATTGACAATTTAGAGCTTCTAACAATTATAAACATTAAATCTGTGACAGGAAATATCTATTATATTTACGTTCTGATATCAGTACGGTGTCAAGTGTGGATTTCTTTCTCAGAAAAGAGAGAATCTCACCAGACTTCAGTTTTAAATCAGCACAGGGCGCTACAACCAATCAGCATGCTTCAACTGAATGATTGGTAGATTATTTCGCGCCATATATTGTGATTCACCAACTACCCACATCATACAATATCAAGTTAAATGTGGTCCCGCTCGTGAGGATTAGGAATCATCGTTTGCAATACTCAATCTTTGCACATTTATTTGCAGGCGTTGATTAAAGCTTTCTACTAGAGATGATGTGCTGTATCTACGATAGTTCTTGGAAAATACGAGTTTTTAACACCTCAATTCTTGGTTGATAACTCTGATATTTGAAGGCATGATCTGTTTCTCGTTCTTTTCTGGGCTGGTATCAGATACTTAGTGGTTGGTACTTCCATCAGTTTATTAGTCATTTTGTACATCATGCACAGTCTGGAGATTCTTCGTCCCAGTGACACCCACTCATATGTACCACCGCTACTCGGTCCGGGTCCGTCCTGGGGGGAAACCTTCCTAACAAATTGGAATTCTTCTCATTTGTCTGCCGCGCGGTCCCAGAGCTCCGTCCTGGCGGACTGATTAGCACAGCAGTTTGCTCGTTTAGGCCACAACAAGTAATTTCTATGGATGACGTCCTCTGATTAAATCTAATGCGAGAACGCAAAAAAAAAAAAAAACAAGAAGGGCCGATAAAACAAGATGTGTAGATTTGAAATATACTTATAAGCAGCATCAAGTGATTTTTATGGATGCGGTCTATGCGCGTGCATTGATTCTGGCTTGTTCTCATTTAAAAAAATTAAAATGACCAAACAGTCATGACAGTGGGATAAGGAAATATGTGATTGATGTAAAAAAGCAGGAGGACAGGACGACAACTGCTGTTCCACTGATTTATTGCTGTTTTTATGGCGAGTAAACGACTTGCTGGTTGTTACACTGTGTTGTGTCCTAACATTTGCCACCCCTTAGTACATTTCAAATCTAGACATCTTGCTTTTTATAAGCTCTTTTGTTGTTCTTTTTTCGCGCTCTCGCATTAGATTTAGGGTCTCCAGAGGACGTCATTCATAAAAATTACTTGCTGTGGCCTTAGAAACACGGCGGCCCGACGGGACCCGAAGGGACATGAAAACCCCGATACAATCCGGTATAAAGTAGGGCACGGCACACACAGGGAGCCCTGCATCAGCACAATCCGATATCTGCATAACAACGATGACAAATTTTCGGCGCACCTCTAAAGAAATGTACATACAAAGAAAAAAAATAGAAAAAGATCCTCAAAGCTAGCCTCTACCAGGCTTCGGGAGGCGGCTGGAAAAAGTAGAAATCGGCCAAGTAGAGAGATAGCATGCCAGGGGAGCGGCAAACTGTACTCTGCAGAAGACCAATTCCCTGGCATGCTATCTCTCTACTTGGCCGATTTCCACTCTCTCCAGTCCCTTTCCGAAGCCTGGTAGAGGCTAACAATCCGATACAAAGTAGGACACGGCACACACTGGGAACCCTGCATCAGCACAATCCGATATCTGCATAACAACACCGACCAGGACCAATACAGACTGATGAATAGAGGATTGGGATGGACTAGAAACAGATCGATTGTCTGAAGAAGTTTCCGTATTCTCTTTAGGCCCCTCTCCACCGTTCAGCAACCTGAATTGGATCTGTTTAACGCTTGACTTTATAATAGGTTTATAATAGGGATGTAATGGGCGATGCAGAAGCATGATTTACAGAAATTTTATTGCAAACGATCATAAACATCTTGGGATAGTGCAGTTGTGTACATGTCGTAGGAATTTCCCCCCTTTTCTATAACGTAAAATGCTGTCAGTTGGTTCTGCAGTTGGTTCTGTTGCAACTCCCTTACTACTCCGCTCACTGATGGATGATAGGGACAAGAAGAACCCATTGTTTCCCGTGATGGCATTTCTGATGTCCCCATTCAAGGTTCAATGATTCGACCTGAAAATTAGATATCAAAATGCTACGATGACGTACAACGAATGTGACAGCATGATAACAAATTCATAAACTCTCATTGTTCTCCGTTGCGTGTGCCAGTCTGAGTGCGTGTAGTTGGATGCCTGCCCCCCCCCCCCAACCACACACTTTCTTCGTTGCGTGTGCCTGCGGTGCGTGTTGTCGGGAATGTTTTTTGCCCGAGGTCGTCCATAAGTCTTCCTGACGCGAGCAGCATAGCCCGCATTCCGGGCAGGTTAGACTGTCGGCTGGGACGTCAGCTGACGTGCAGGGGTTCGCCGTGTCTTCATACGTTTGGCTTCGGTCCTGAAAACATGATCTTCAAGGACTGTATTCTATCAAGGAACGATGAAAAATCCTTGATGTTATCTAAGGTTTTCACACACACACACACACACACACACACACACACACACACACACACACACACAAACGTTTCAGCAACAAGATTTTGAATACCTATTCAGGTGCTGCTGGAGAAAGTGCTTTGGTGTGTTACTCTCATTACCTGCATGTCTAAAATTCATCTACGTAACAACAACATTGTGTTAATATGGTGAACATGTTGATATACTATTAGATAGATGACCTTTATTCATTGTACACTCATGCCCTATTGGACTAAGTTCAGGTATACAAATACAAAAAGTAGTAGTAAAGGTCATATATTAAAAATACTAATCAAAATCATGGGTTATGAGACTATTTCAATACATTAGTCCTGCTCTTCTTCTCTCTTGATATAAATATCTAGACTTCCATGATAATATAGTACATTTCTTGCTATTCATTGTATTCACATCTCTTGTTGTAGAGTTGTGTCCGATACTTAATAGGGAGGGAGGGGGCCCATTGCCGCACCAGTCGTACATAATTTTAACTATATTGTTACTCTCCGATCAGAGGTTGGTGCAGAAGATAATGTTGAACCTTGCAAAGACCCTAGCATTACATAAAAGCAAGCCCTCCGCAGACGATAGAAAGCTATATTTTCCGTCAGCCTAGTCATCAGGAAAGCCGAGTTTAGCCTGGCTCCGCATGTGGATATTCTCTGGTTACCCAGACGGGTACAAACCGCAGGTTTCCTGTTTGGGGAGATAGGAGCATGCGATAGCCTCAAGATCAGGCCCTTTGGCGGGCAACTGATCTAATCTTGTTTCCGAGTTTTCAACAATACTAGTGGTAAGGGAGTAATCAGGAAGTTATGCTGGCCTATCGTTTCAAATGGAATTAAGCTGAAGCTAAATAAATCATGAACGCACACACACACACACACACACACACACACACACACACACACACATACAGAGAGAAAGAGAGACAGACAAAGAGAGTTTAAAACAATTATCGCCACTATCAAACTAATATTGGAGCCATCATGATTGATTAAGTTCATTTTGAAAGCCCACAAAAGAAATATAAAATATATATACTTTTGATCTGCTCGTTTTTTTAGCTATGACAGTGAATTATTTGGCTGATCTGTGAAATCTTTGGTAGCTCAACTGTCGCCCAGCGGTCTCAGGCTGTCATGGAGAGTGTGTACTGTGCCGGCCTTCTCGCGTTTCTGTCACTGTTCATTACCGCTGCCCCTTCTGATTATTACAAGTCAGCGAGAGATGCGGACCTTGATCCTTCAGGAGCCGCCGTCTGACTCTCAGATAAGAAGTTAACAAACAGGCTGGGTCACAAATTACTCGTCGTCGAGTCTAGGGGTTAGTGACCCTGCCTCTGGACCAAGAGGTCGTGAGCTCACCCGACATGCACGCTATTGGACAGGGTCGCAGTCCAGTAGTTAATGGTCGCAGTACTTGGGATGGGACGTTAAGTACTGTTGTATGAGTTGTTAGGTCCTTGAGAAGGTATAAGAAAAGGCAAATATCTTCTTTTTCTATCCTGTCTACGAAGTAGTCCTAATTCTTTTAAAAGTTTTATATTAATTAAGTTATGCCCCAAATAAAACTGGATATCAATGGAATTAAGCGTCTGGTTTTCTGGTTTCCGTTTCTCAACCTCAACTCGACTCCCCCCCCCCCTTTGCCACAAAGCTTTTATACAATAAATGTAAACAAGGAGGTTTAAAATCCTTGATATAAATTCTTGCCTTTCGCCAACACCACCCCACCCCACCCCACACACCAAACGCTTATCTCCAAGCAGATCCCTTTCAGTGGCAAAAGGACAGTATCAAATTGGCCAGGCAGTATCCATTAGCCAGAGAAGGTCGCGATTAGCGACAAAAAAAAAACAAACAAACAAACAAAATATACTAGTATAAAAAGCTAACGATATCAGTCCCCCACAACCTCTGCTTGGAGAGTAACCAAACGGACCCACCTGTCTCTGTTGTTTGTGTCCGAACCCCGGCAGGTTCAGAACCAGACTTGTCAGGCACGGCTCGGGGCATCTGGTTGGCATTTCCCCCAGTTAGATCTGGTATCACAACACAAGGACGTCCCGAAGTGATAAAAAAACATTGCTGTCTTGTTTTAGGGTCTACTTAATTTGATGAAATTCAATATTTTAGTCTGACACAAGCAATATTAGCTCACCTCAATATTTTCTATTAATCTCTAAATTTGATTTCTAAATGTCAATTAATACAAGTCAATTGACAAAAGCAAAGTCACGGCGGACTAAAGTTAGATAAAACTTATATACTCGACGTCACTTGTACATGCTGGTACATTATGGAAATTAAACAAAGATTATTTGACAAGCCACGCAGACATTATGAATAATAAACTAATAGATACATAACAGTTACCTAGTTTGGACATGAGTCCGCTTTATTTGTTGTTATCATATCTTAACCATAAATTCAGTCCATGAAAGAAATTTATATCCATGTCTACATCATTCTACATCTGTTTGCGTAAACTTCAAAAGTCTTCATCATTCTTAAACCATTGCCATGGTAATTTCAATCGTAGAATGAACTTGTAAATAAACAATTATTAACTTATTAAATAAACTAGTAGATATTTTAGTTTATTCACAAGTTCATTATACAATGTCTAGAAAACGTATACAGTGCAAGTTAACAATGGTGACAATGGAATAATTGACTATTGTAAAAACCGTTACGGAGTACAATCTAAGCCTTTTAATAATTCCGCAGACACCCCGAGTGCGACAGTGACTAATGTGAGCCCAGATCCGCCACTTCCGTTTGTAACCCGACCTGTACTACCGGGTCAGAGGTTACGCAGATTAATGAGGTGTGTTGTTCTAACTGGGGCGAGTCTGACTGCCGAGGTGGCGGGAATTAACGATCCGAGACTGTCACCCGATAGGTATCGATCCGCAAGCCAGAGGGAGTTTCATGGAGAGGGGAAAATATCTTGCGATGCATTTAACAGACATTTAGTATTAATTACTAAATGTCTCTTAAATCTTTGGCATGCATTTAAGAGATGCATCTTGGCATGCATTTAAGACATGCATCTTGGCACAAATTTAAGCCACATTTAGTATTACTAAATGTCTCTTAAATGCATGGATGCGACCCCCCGCTAAATATCGTACAATCCCTAACAATTAAATTTGTAGATCAAAGTTCCTTCTCGCACCAGTATATGGTACATATGGCGGCGCCCATCTCCATTTCTGTATAGCCCTTGGGCCACACGCAGCTGCAGTTGTGCAATCATTACAGAATGGGGCTAGTCCACTGCTGGTGGCGTGTGTTTATCTCCTATATTCCTTTAGTTCCTAAATTCTGAGTGCTAAGCAAAGAAAGCTATATGCACCATTTTCAAAGTCTTTGGTATGACTTGGCCGAGGATCGATCTGAAGAAAACTCTGCCTATTTGATCATAGCAGTGGTCTCTGTGAAGACCATACTAGTAATTACACAGCGATTTATTATTTGGTCTCTGTACAGTCGACCGGTCTCTCAGTGATAGCCGTGTAGCGGAAAGGGGGCTGAGCCATCAGGTGTTTTTCTGTTCCATTTGAGACGATCCTTTAAATCGGTCCGCATGCTACACAGTGATTAAACACAGTCGGTGCATAGCCGGCTTCAGCCGATAACGTCCTAGCTTCAGCTATCATGTGCACTTCACGACTTCAGTTCTATCACTGGTGTATTACTGATGTCTTATTCATCGAACAGTAATTATCCCCAGTCATGGCGCTTATTTTAGTCCAGAGATGTCGGTGCATGCGGAGTTCTGAAGACACAGGCTTAAGCCATTAACACCCAAGCTCCAGCTATCATAATAATAACTTTATTGCACAACAATTGTGCATGGTACAAAGTATAGTATCTACTAGTACATGTTAACTACATTTTCATAAGGCTAACCTAACTAATGCAAGAGTAGGTAGCTAGTTTGGGACAGGTATGAACTTTTACAGTCATTGGAGGAATTTCTAATATCTATACAGTGTTTGATATATATCCCTATGTATACCATGCAGGGGTTGTCGCATATGTACTACACGGCTTCTGTCCTATCACTGATGTACTACTAACACACCGCACAGTAATTATCCCCAGTCACGGCGCTTATTTTAGTGGGCAGAGACGTCGGAGTTCTCAGCTGTTCTTCCCGCCTGCACGTCTCACCTTTGGACGGGTTAAACATCGTCTAGACAGGTTCCTTTGTTTTCTGGCTCTTCGTGGCGGCCACAAGTCAAGTGCTTGTTGTGATCAGGGGTTGGACTGCGGCCCGCGGCCTGACCCTGCCTTATCGACCCACCGGAAACTTTGTCCTCGGTGTACAGGGACAGGTATTCTTAGCCTGGGTGCCAGGCTGTTTCCAGGGCCTTGACAGGCCAGCTCTTTAGCCAGGGTTTCAGGCGGTTTCCGGGGTCTGCCTACACAGCCTGGATGCCAGGCTGTTTCCAGGGCCTACATATGACAGCTCCTTAGCCTGGGTGCCAGGCTGTTTCCAGGGCCTAGAGAGACCAGCTCCTTAACCTGGATGCCAGACTGTTTTTAGGGCATACACAAGCCAGCTCCTTAGCCAAGATGCCCGAATATTTCCAGGGCCTACACAGGCAAGCTTTTTAGCCTGGATGCCAGGCTGTTTCCAGGGTCTACACAGGCTACCTCCTTAGCCTGGATGACAGACTGTTTCCATGGCCTACACAGGCCAGCTCCTTAGCCTGGACGCCAGGCAGTTTCCAGAGCCTTCACAGGCCAGGTCCTTAGCCTGGATGCCAGACTGTTTCCAGGGCCTTGACAGGCCAGCTCCTTAGCCTGGATGCGAAAATGTTTCCAGGAGCTACACACATTGCCTGTTATGAGCCTGTCATGTATTGTACCCAGGCTCTGTATTCTAGCCAAATCAACCATAACAAACAGGGGAGGGGATTTCATAGTTCAGATGATGAACAATGATGAAAGCTTGAAGCAATTGGCTACGGGAAAATCTCCAAGCATCAGCGAAATCATGTACTACGGTTTGACTTCGTGGAAAATTAAGTCGCGGTTCATCGGGATTTGATAAAAATTGAAAATCTATAAGAGCAAAAATTATACCGCCAGTGCTTAATATTATGTCGATGCGGCATATCGTGCCCAAGGGACAAGTCATATTGCTCTGACGACCGGACAATTTGCCTTTAACCTGTATTGTGAACTTTTGAACTAAACCAAGTATTGCCAAAAAACCGTTACTCAAGCAACTGGATATGATTTTGAAAACGTCAGACGCTTCAGCTAGTATCCACTAACTTTCGTCAGTGACTGAGAGACCAGAGGGGAAAGCAGGTTTATATACACAACCTGTTGATTGATATGCAAAAAATTTTCAAAATCATATCCAGTTGCTTGAGTAATGGTTTTTTGGCATATCGTATTACCTGGATGTCTAACCTTCATCGACGTAAACCAAGTATTCCTTGTGACGTCGTTGGGTGTAATCAACGGTTGTAAGGCTTCATAACATTCCATCCATAGCGTTAATGATCCTTTGGGTCATATATTGATATACATTCATATAACTGGCACGTACAGTACTACTTTCCGGTCATTGACCCCAGCACTGTAAAATAAAAAAAACAGCAACAGGATGTTGCACTATTGATATATGAGCTGCCGTCGCCATCTTGGTGGGGTAACGGCTCCAAGATGGCGACGATTACTACCATGATTGTCAGACAATAATCACTTGTATTTACCCTTGTTTATGGTTGTTGTTGCTTCCATTGGGTGAAGACCCTTCGAAGTCCCCGTATCATTGTTGTAGTAATAAAGTATAATTACATATTTCCATATTGACACAGGAATAATTGTTATTTTGTTGTTTCTGCAGGATTATTCGTTATGAGTGCTGCACTGGATACGGGCAGATTCCCGGAGAAAAGGGCTGCACAACAGGTAATTATCAGTTGTTTTTTTTTGTTTGTTTGTTGTGTGTGTGTGTGTGTGTGTGTGTGTGTGTGTGTGTGTGTGTGTGTGTGTGTGTGTGTGTGTGTGTGTAAAAATATGTCACTTGGTCTGCTATTACTGAAATGTCTCATTGGAATCAAAGTTTATCACATCACCTATTTTTATGGTTGTATATTGACTCTGAGTGGTGCGTGCAGGTAACATCTATTAGGCACAGGGAATTTACAATTTTACCTGCTCCAGTGCATATAATATTTATCAGGTGCAGGTGATTTAGTGTAATGAAAGTATTTGTGGCCCAGACCCTGTTGTATACAGAACCGTGCTTTATCCAGGACCATGCTCAGGAACGGTTTTGGATATTCCATGCGTATCCAAAAACATGCCTGGGGCAAATCTACGTTCCGTGATACTCAGTGGCTATCCACAACCCCTTAGGCGTAGAACTTGAGGCCCGGCCCTGGTTACGATAAAGCCCATATATCGGCTGCGTGCTCCCGGCGTCTCCTGGTCTCCAGACCAATCGTTTGTTCCACCCAATAAACACATTGACTCTGCAGCGAACAATCTAGACTTTCAATTCCTCAAGAGCACGGATAAAATTTGACGAGGGAATATATCCACTGCTAACCAATTAAAGTGACCCAGACGTAAAAGTAATAATGCCCTCGTCCAATTGAGTTACTGTTTTAATCACCTCAAATGAACCTACACAGAATTTCACGACAGTTCATCCCCGGTCATCTGCAATCATAGGTATGATAAATCATGATCGTTTACATAATAACTACCTCAATAAAAAATCAGGGTATATTCAAGATTTCCTTACTTTCTAAGTGCTAAATTCCTGAGATGCAATTCACCTATCTTTAATGTTAAAATGTTTAATGTTAAATCTTTAATGTTAAAATAATGGTGCCCACTGTTATTTTAGTTTATGTTAGTTTATTTTACTCAGGTACAGGTACAGGTATTCGGAAAACAGCCGTACTTATTTATCTATTTATTTATTTATTAGGTTTTACCACGTACAATATGCACTGTGGATGGCATGGCGAAACAGGTATTTCTGGCATGAAAAACCTTTTTCAAAGCCACCATACCAATAAAATGACAAAACAATACAAAAAGTAATCAAATCACATAATACAATTTGAGGAACAAATGAATTAACTTAGAACTACAAGGCAAGTCAACTTATTAACATTGTGAGAGTTATTGCTTCGAGACAACAAATAACGACAGTTATATAGCCAGCAGTAATATCACAGTTAGCGCGGTCTTGTGGCCAGACAAGTGGCGTACTAAAACTACTACTATGATTTTTGGTCACTCAATGGCCGCCACCTCATAGTATTGCCAACAGGCTGGACAACAAAGGAGACTAGTGTTGTACTTTGGTCTGGCGTCCGGTCGATGCCAGATTATTATCTTTATTTTGTAAAATTATACCCAAAGGCTAAATGCTTGTAAAGTGTGTAAGAAAGTAAATTAAACTGATAGGGAACATGCAACTTCTGTCTGATCAAATGATTCTACTGCCCTCCTAGTATTACGAGGTTTGGCTTCTTCGTTGAAGGTATAATGGATAATGAATAGCCCTACTGTATTCGTAATGAGTGGGTTTTGTGATCTCAGTAGATGCCAGTCGAGTTGGCACGTTGTGTGGATACAGCACACACTCAGGCGAGTCCACAAACCGGCCTGGTGCCGCTTCAGCTGATCTTCAGACCGATAATACACGTGTCGTCATCTCTAAACAATATCCTGCCATTTTGTTTATTTATTGAAACAACAGAGTACAAGACATGGTACAATACACAGAGGTGGAAACTCTAGCCGAAGCTAATATTAATCACACCACTGGCATAGAATACAAAACACAGGTATGACAATGACAAAACAACAAATGAGTGTTCGTATATACAAGAATAACGGCAATATAAATCATTAGGCAACAGTAAATCGTTGGGTATTAAGTATAAAGGTTTGAGTAAGAATCAGAATTTTTTGTTGACTTCAAAACGTAAAAGGGGCGAACCCCTCGGTAAAATATTAATACGGGCTTGGTCAGACAAGTTGCGCAAGTCAAAAGTATCCTGCCATTTAAACAATATCCTGTCGCTTGACCCAAGTAACACCATTGACAATATTCGAATGAAGGCTCATCTGTGTTGGTAGAATCCATATTTATGAGTTTCATTCAAGCTTTGTTCCAACACAACTTGGAAAATTTATGGTCAGTTTCCTTCTTGTGTAGGAATAAAGCTTAAATTCTACAACCATTGACAATACGTTTAACTCTTCTCATGGGCAACTGTTATTTATTGTTCAATAACTGTCAAATATTAGATGCCTTTTACAACTTTATTTTGCAGGCTGGTCGCTTCATTTGATTGACTTCTGATTTTGTACATCAGCTACATATTTCACCGTTATGTTGTCAGTAATGTTACCTGACTTCTGATTTTGTACATCAGCTACATATTTCACCGTTATGTTGTCAGTAATGTTACCTTCTTGTTATTACCCAGTCCTCAGGAAATAAATGTGGATAGAATACCTAAAAAGGCAGTACCAAAAGCACAGGAAAACAAACAAATGCCAAAGGTTAGTTCTGAAGTTACTGCAGGGGCAGCAACTTATGGTCGAAGACAGGCGAAAGTTGTGTGTCGTGTGTTCTGATGTCCTTCTCTATGGATGCATCACGAGGAAAATGCCGTTTAGTCCTCCGGATGTTTTATCTACCAAATGCCAGCTAAGTCCCACAGAGCCTGATGGATCTGCGCGTCCCAAACTCCAGGTCATCTCGTGGCATTTAGAAGCGCGGTTGAACATTTCACCAAGGCAGGATGCATCCATAAATAGTTATGAATGGGCAGTTTTCTACTAAACAAATATGTCCCAGGACTGGGTTTTCAGAAGGGGGATAGGGATGTATAGATAGACGATATATTATGTTCTTATCTTGTCGTATTGAGGCTACAATGTTTGATAAGATAGAGTTCTAGCCTGGGGTGTACTCAGAAAACATCCCATTGATGACGTCACAACCACGGCAGATAAGCAAAATCTTCTTGAAGAAGGCAAGTAAAATTCTCAAACAAAAATAATGTCTCCATTTAAAGTTTGGAAGACTTTGAAACTTTGACATTTTATTAAACTCCACTAGCTATCAAAATGTCAAACTCAAAAGCTTCAGGATGAGGGGCTGATATTTGTATGTTCTTATTGTTAATTATTCAGTTGTTTTAATCATTCGTTAGCTACCATTTAGTTATTTTCAAATGAGTAGGAAAAGACCCACAGATATGTAAGTATTATTTCTCTCTGTCTTTCTCTTGAGCTGGGAAAGGTAGGTTTGATTTAGGGGCATAATTTTCACCATATGTCAAGACAACCTTCAATGTCATCCTGGCGTGGTCAAGGTCGTTCACGGCTCTGCATGGAGACGACTAATATCCAGCAGCGTGGCTTTATCGTGAACCGTCCCACAGAAGTATTAACTCTGCGGCTCACATGAAGCGTGGTAGCACAACATCTGGATTGGAACAAACGCGACGTCCAAGAAACAGGATAAAGAGGGGCTTGACATTTAAGAGTTGCTTGACATTAAGAATCTGATTGTCTAGATCTCTAAAGCTATGGCATTACTGTTACAGTTTTTCCTTCTTACAAATTTTAGCATGGTTCTGTTATATTGAAACGTTCCCAATCGTTACAGTACTGGAAAGGGTCAAACTCCTTGGGACAGGAAGTTAAGCCGTGGCTCGCTGTTCATTGTGCTTGTCGAAAGCGGTATACAGAAGAATCTCCCTCTATCCCTGGTAGCCTGGGTACCATCCTATTTGTATACCGGGGCTCTCATACTCGGAGCGAGTATGGGAGCCCCGACACACAAATAGGATGGCACCCAGGCTATCTCCCTGGTGCATTGGACCCGAATATACTGCACTGTCATGACCAGCTGTTCCAAGATTAGGTCTTCATTGGACTAAACTGGATTGAGACCATTTCCCTTTTAAATCAGCCTAGGCAGTCTCAACAGTCAGTACACATGGATGCAATTTGCACCACCAAGTACGTCTACAAATTATCCAGTACCAGTACCGGTGGGGCTTGCTGTGGTAGAACAGCAACTGGTATTTAAAGGTCGACTTTACTTTCCTTTAGCTGGAACTATTTCTTTGTGCTCAGAATCTACTGAAGACGTCCATCAGGTAACTGATGCAAGTAAAATGCCTGAAAACCTGGTTTGCTTAATATTTGTTACAGTGGCAGTTCCGCTTGCTAGGATATGGCAATAATGGAAATCTAAGAGCGACATTAGTTTCCCTTGATCTGTTCTGGATTGCCATGCTGAGAAAGTATGGGGGCAGTTTATCAAGTAAAAGAAATAAGATCAGGTAAAGATCTTTGAAAAGTAGGAATGGTATCCCTTCAAGACTATGTACAATGAGATATACAGATAGTGAGGCTGTGACTAAGCACATTCGCAAATCATACTGCTATAAGGTGTTTTTGGCGTAATGGCAATGCTGTGGTGCACAGATGGAAGGATGCTTACTAGTATGGTGTACAGATGGTGCCCTGCTGCAAAGGTGAACCAACCGCCATTTCAAAAGCTTCGAAACTTCAGGAGATGCTCCTTTGTCTGTAAATCAAATCCGTACACCTGGCATACACGTACAGAGACACGCTTTCCAATGTTGACAAACTAATAAATCACTTATCCCAATTTCCATTTTTGCGATGTGGATTTTGTTGAGCTTCATCTATTAGTAATATGTCGATTTCAGGACGGCGTCTCTAAAATGAAAATTACTCGCACGCATCAATTTCCAACAGTAATAAACTCATGAAAAATAAAAGCTTGCTGTAATAGCTGAAGGCTCGTAAAAGTTCTGATAACTCATAAAGATGACGGATATGCCTGTGTGCCGGCACCCCGTGTCATTGTCTTCATACTTCACTTTTATTCGCTAGTTTTTGCTGGCTGCAAGCAATATATCATCTAGAGTCAAGACTTGTGCACACAGGTTAGATTTCTACTGGAATACAAATTGGTCGCTTTGGTGAAACCATTCGTTTTAGAATGCGATACTGCTGGAATGACAATGACATTGTGTTTTATATTTATAATGTAGATACATGTAGTTTGCTTGCAAGTGTGGGAAATTGTACATTAGAACAATGGTAACAGGTGACTACTCTAATAACTGTTACATAATATAATATTTTGGGGGGTTGACTTCTACAGTAAACCTTTCTATGAACGATATTGGCATCAACATACTCTGCACTCCATGACCCTGATACCATGGTAACTGGTAAGGCCAAGGTTGGCTGGTCAAAGTACCAAGATATTACACAATGGGCAGCAGGCAATATGTCATCTATGGTAGATCTGTTTGTCTTGTTTGAAACCACGTATAAAGGTGTTATTACGGATTTTACTCGCTGACTGTTTTATCATACAAATAAAGTCTTTCCAAGGACATTATACATAATGTCTTTGTTACACCTAACCATTGAACATCTAATTCTACACATTGTTCAAAGCTAATCTAATGATAATGCCCCTACTGTACTTGGTGACAGCGAGTTCCACTCTGCGATACTTTAAGGAAATAATGAATTCTTGAACACCTCAATCCTTGGTTGATAACTGGTTGGTACTTGGTTGGTACTTGAAGGTATGGCTATTTTTTGTTCTCTTCTGGGCTGGTATTAGGTACTTGGTAGTTGGGCTGTATCTGTAGCTGACACCATGTTGTTGTACACCAACCGGGCCTCGCTCGTTCCTTGTGTAGAATGTTAAAACTGTTTTCTTTCCCCAGAACTTCCTCTGAAGAACATCCCCGCGACCCTGGAGGATACCGGAGCAGACACCATGCTGCTCTACACCACCCGGGCCGGACTCACGGACCAGCTGGAGAACGAGGGAGCCTTCACCGTCTTCGCACCCAGCAACGAGGCTTGGGCCGAGCTGCCGCAGGTGCCAGATCTCGGTCCATTACACAGTCTATCTATAGCTATAGCAGTGACTACCGTATTGATCTTTTGTACTTAATTAATGTGTGTTAGATCCCCCTCTGTAGCCTTCATCAGGTTCATATAACCAGTCACAGCCATTTCTATCTTTTGGTTTGTCATAGTTTTAGATTTAAGTTCTTAGATACCTTTTGACCCAACAACAAGAAAATCCCTGCGCGAATATCTTGACCATCACTTCTGACACGAGTCCTTATTCATACCAATACACTGCACCTTTTTTTTCAATCTCAAACATGGAATGATGTCTGATATAACTTAACTGTAAATACTAACGCTGCAATCAATCAGACAACCTCTGGTATTTAGACGAAACTTTTAATTTCACCTCTTGTCTTCCAGGAAGTGATAGACGCCATGGGGTCGAACTTTTATTTTTAAACGTGGAATGACGTTATTTTACATACTATAAAGAACAACGCCACAATCAACCTCTGGATTTGGACTTAACTTGAAATGTCACGTTTTTTTTCAGGAAGTTATCGACGCCCTGGTGTCGAACATGAACTTGGAGTTGCGTAACGCTCTGCTGTACTGTTATTTACAAACGTGGAATGACTCTTTCCTTAGGTATCTATGAATAACAACGCCACAATCAACCTCTGGATCTTGATTCAACTTCTATTGTCACCTCTTGTTTTCTAGGAAGTTATTGACGCCCTTGTGTCGAACGTGAACGTGGAGTTGCGTAACGCTCTGCTGTACCACATGGCGGAGGGCGTGGAGGAGATCAAGGACTTCTCCAACGACCGGATGCTGAGGACCCTGTACCGGAACTCCCCCATGCGCATCAACAACTACGGAGACAGCGTGAGACACTCACTTCTTTTATGCCGAAGTATTATATGTGTTAACTTTATTGCAAAGCTTTAGTACAAGGTACAAAGAATGGCAAAGAATCTACTGGTAAATATTGATGTTGTATTGAATCTCAGCAAACCATAGAGGGGGAGAGATTAAAAAAAATAACAGTAGAAATGGAGTGAGAAAGTTTTCATTTATATCCCTTTACAGACTGTTACGTCTCGCACAGTTAGGTGAAATATCACGAAAACAATAACTGCATTTTGTTTACAAATTTCGTTTGTGTTGATGTTTACCTTTTTAGCAGTTTTAAACAGTGGAATAAGCCCCTCGATAGTTTCTGTTTATCTGTTTTGTTTTTGTTTGTGTTAACAGATTTACACCGTAAACTGTGGGCGCATGCTTTTGTTTACCTGTTTTGCATTTGTTTGTGTTTACAAATTTACACCGTGAAGTATGGACGCATCCCTTTGTTTACCTGTGTTTTTTGTGTGTTTACAGATTTACACCGTGAACTGCGGGCGCATCCTGCGGCCGAACCAGCGGGCCACTAACGGCATCGTGCACATCATCGACAAGGTGGTCACCCCCACCACTGGTACCATCGACGACTTCGTCAGCAACAACGACCGCTTCGCTACCCTCAGGTTAGAGCTGTTTGTTTGCTTGTTTGTTTGTTTGTTTGTTTGTTTGCAATTATTTGTATAAGGGACTTGAATCGACCCGGCGATAAGATGGAGAAAAGTTACAAGGACCCTTTTTAAGGAATTATGTTCTTTGCGGATTATGTTATGGGTTCTTTAAAGTGCTACGTATACAGGTGTATCTGTCCCCAAAATCTGTCTCCGGCTTTACGTCCCATCCGAGAGGACGTACCTAATCAAAGCTTAGGGTACTCATTTCACCTGCTTGGAAATAGGTGTGAAGTGCCTTTCCCAAAGGGTACAACACTTGGGCCTTCTAGGGGTTCAAACCTAGAACCTTTACATTCCACGCCAACAACCCAAATCACAACATTGGGTCCTGCTAGCTAAGGATTCAAATCTAGAACCATTAGACTCGAAGTCAACATCCGAAACCACAACATTGAGTCCTGAAAGAGATTCGAACCCAGAACCTTTATAGTCTAAGTCACCAATGATAACCACAAGGTTTGTCGTCCCTTCTCCAGGACTGCCATCACAGCCGCCGGCCTGTCGGAGATGATCCAGGGAGAGGGTCCCTTCACTCTGTTCGCTCCCACCAACGAAGCCTTCAACAAGATCCCTCCGGAAACTCTCAACAGGATCCTGGGAGATGCCGACTCTCTCGACGGTATGTGTGGGGGGAAATGTAGCCTCTACCAGGCTTCAGGATGCGGCTGGAAAGAGTAGTATTTGGCCAAATAGAGTGATAACATGCCAGGGGAGTTGGTCAGCTAGAGACTACCGGGAGCGACAAACTGTACTCTCTAGCTGACCAACTCCTCGGCATGTTATCTCTCTATTTGGTCAATGTCTACTTTCCAGCCGTCTCCCTAACCCTGATGGAGGCTATGGGAACTGCATTTTGCAAGGAATTTAATTTGCTCAGTGAAATGCCAAGAGACTTCTAGGATGTTTGATACGGTGACATTTTGACAGGGTGATGATGACATGCTTGTTATGTCCATTTTATCATTTGGTTGAAAATCTGGACTTTTTTGCTTAAACAATTATATTTTGTATCGTATCGTATCGTATCGTTTGTATTGGACGAACATCATCATCGTTTCCTGAACAATTTAGCATTATATTGTTTATATTTTGCTTGAATGCTATGATACTAAGTGTACTTAACACAGCTGTACTAAGACTGTACGTGGAATTACGTACGCATACACAGTAAAAGAACTCAATTTTCCTGTCTCCTCTCAGCCCTGCTGAAGTACCACATCCTGGACTCCGGGTTCTGCTCCGCTTTCATCACCAGGAGGCACAAACTCCGCACCATGGAGGGGTCAAGGGTCAACGTGTCCTGCGGCCGCGGAGAGGTACACTCAAATTCTTATTTTCTTATTAAGGAGACACTGGATTTCACATAAAAGGCCTCAAATCAGCCATGGCAGACTGTGTGGAGAATAGTGGTGCAGTCTTTCGTCGCCCCACCGGGTCGATGAATGATGATGATTTATCAAAAAACACAGAACCCTCAAATTATAGAAAAAGTGGGGATTTTCGTCTGCCTCTGCTTTCCAAAAAAGAAGCCGTACTTAACTTGTCTGGATATAATCAGTACTAGTACTTGAACTTGTCGCCTGTTAGCATCAGTTTTAGTGCTTGTAACATGTATATGTCCTACGTCTTGTATTAGCATATGTCGATACAAATGAGACAAAAAACCCATGACAAGTCCTAAGCACGACTTGTCCCGGCAGGTCGGTGACGAGTTCCGCGTGAACCAGGAAGTGAAGATCGTGGAGTCTGACATCGTCACTGATAACGGCATCATCCACGTCATCGACTCCGTCCTCATACCAAACGCAGGTTTGTTTGTTTGTATTTTGTGTGACCAAATCTCAACTCATGTTGGAAACAGAGTCATGGGACTGAAATTTACCACAGTAAAGAAACGGAAACTGAAGTGGTATGTCCACTTGTCACGATCATCGGGACTAGCAAAAACTACTAGTAATATCATGGAAGGTACAGAGGTACGCAACGGAAAAGGTAGAGGACGAAATCAGAGAATAGGCCAGCATGACACCAAGCGAAATGTTAGAACGAGAACAGAACAGAAAACCGAGAAGGGCGGAGAAAACTCAGGTTGTCAGATAATCTGTGATGCCCTACGGCCAAATGATTAGACTCAGGGATAGATGATATGAGATGATTTTGTGTGTTTGTGTATATGTGTCGCATATAGTCGTTATAACCGCCCTTTTGCGTATGTTATTATGTAAATAAGATCTGTATCAGTTTACGTCAAACATTCCAATCGGAGCAGTGCCTTTTAAGCTTTTTTTCCGGACAAATTTTTACTGCGTCACTCGGTCTGCGGAACGCTTCCGTTACGACATTTGCCGACCCTCTTCTGACCATTAAGTCCAATATCGAGCGACCTAATGACGCGCGAAACTGTGCGTGGAGAGGAAACGGACGGGCCGTTAGTCCGTGGTCGTTATTAGCCACAATAGCCGGCTCCTTTCCTGCAGACATCGATCCCAGCAAGGCTTTGAATGGACTTCGGCTTTTCAATCACTCATTTTCCAAGCTGATGCTTCGTTAAACTCGGGAAAAGCACATGGATACTTAACCCTGGGGTCGCTAATATGGATCAGTGGCGAACAACAAACATGCAAATGAGGGGACTTTGCATGGTTTTTATGATATAAGAAATTAAAGTATTTCATGTTTCTCAAGAAGCTGCCCAGTGTTCCAATAGAATCTGGAGGAAGTAGGTGCACCCACTACTGAAAAGCCAAGTCCCCCCAACAACGAAATAAATTTTGTGTGGTTTTATATTACTCTATGTAGCAGGTTGCAGGACATAGTTGGAGGGTTGGTCACCATATATCAATGCTTTAGTTTAACTAGTAGTAATGCTGTTTAAAGTTAAAACTTTAGATCTAATAGAATAAAGTTCTCTCACCTAGAGTTTTCGACCAGTCACTCAGGTCTTGATGATGATGATGATGATGATGATGATTATGATGATGACGTCTTGGAAGCCACTTGACAGCTTTAAAAATGTAACTGCAACACAGATGAACTTTCATGATAGTAGTAAAACTATTTCTTTTCTTTATAGCTAAGAACGTTGCTGAGATGTCGCAGAGCGTGGCTCCACCAGCGATTAACGAGTACCTCTCCTCCTCCGGCATCATCGACGAGATGGCCGAGGGCGGGCCATGGACCATCCTGGCGCCCACTGACCAGGCCTTCGAAGGTAAATGGTCATATTAGGAGTTTGCGTTTATTAACTTTGCCAAGAAGGTAATAATACATATAACACATAAAAACTTAAATAGAACATGTGTTCCATATGGAGTCACCTGAGGTCACCGGAGCAGGGTCGTGTTCTATTTGGGTTATCGGCAGGGAACATGTTTTCCTTATGGGTCACATAATTTATTTTGGATTTTTTGGAACAGAGTCGTGTTCTACTTGGGTCACCCGAGGTCAATTGCGGGTGATTATAGTGGATTATTGTATTATAAGTATCGTGGCATGCAAATGTGATTCGTAGAAAAATAAACCATTCTGCTAATACTGCTACTAGCCCTGCCTGCGGACGTGCAGAGCAGACTGGCCACCGACACGGTTCCTAATAACTTTATTCCATAGTTTATAAGACTTTTCTTGTTCTAAAGTTGCTCCTGCCTACTGGCAAACTCACACATTCAGTCCATAAGAACTTTATTTCATCGTCTTTCAGACATCTCCTGTTCTTAAATTGTCTGTTTACCCTGTTTTCCCACTAGCCCTGCCTGCGGACGTGCAGAGCAGACTGGCCACCGGCACGGTCCCTAATAACTTTATTCTAGAGTTTATGAGACTTTTCTTGCTTTTGTGTTGCTCCAGCCCACTGGTAAACTCACACATTCAGTCCCTTAAACCTTACCCTACCCTGTTTTCCCACTAGCCCTGCCTGCGGACGTGCAGAGCAGACTGGCCACCGACACGGCGTTCCAGAAGGAGATCATCGGCAGGCACATCGTGGAGGGGCAGCTCACCGGCCGCAAGCTCATCCAGGGCCAGGACCTCAGGGCCATCGACGGGGACACCACCCTGCGTACCTCGCTCTACAGGAAGGTGGGCTGTCAATCAATCAATAATTGATCAATCATTCAATAATCAATTGATTAGTCGATACATGGACAATTAAAGAAGATGTTACTATTAATAAGCAACTGGATAGATGACTTAACAGCCATCGCTGTACAGGAAGGTGGGCTGTCAATCAATCAATCAATCAGTCAATCAATAAATCAATGGTCAATCATTCAATAATCAATCGATTAATCGATACATACAGACAAAAGGACTTTGTTACTCAAGCATCTGGATATCAGACGTTTCAAAAGCATCCACTACTTTTCGTCAGGGACCAATGGGATCTAGTTCGTAGTTTTAGGAAAAGTGCCTGTTCAACAACAGGATCAGATCCGTTTTTTGAGTTGCTGTGTTCTCACCTGGACACTATGCTATTAAAACATGCTGTTCAGAGCCGTAGGTGGTCAATCCATCAATCATCTATTCCATCAATCAGACGATGAAAACCCTCGGTAGCTAGGGACCATCCTGCGAACATCCTGCAAACCTTGCAGTACAGGAATTTAGTCATGTTACAATAAATCCCCCAATCATTCATTCAATTACAACTCTTTTGATACCTACATAACGATTTGATGGGGTGTCATAAGGGAAAAGCAATGTATACCAATCAATCATTCTAAAAGCATCCATATCTTATATAATACTAGTAAAAGTGATTTTTGTCTCCATTGTTTTCAGACCTTCTGCATCGATAACGCCTGTGCCTACAAGGGCGACCACGAGGCGAACAACGGAGCCGTGATCCTGATCGACAGAGTGCTGATGCCGGCAGAGGGCAGCCTCTGGGACCTCATCGACAAGGACGGCAGCTTCAGGTCAGCAAAATCTGCATTATTCGTTATTTAACGGGCACGGAAGTATTGTTTTGGGTAGTGTGTGTGTGTGTGTGTGTGTGTGTGTGTGTGTGTGTGTGTGTGTCTGTGTGTTTGTGTATGTATGTATGTGTGCTGATCGACAGAGTGCTGATGCCGGCAGAGGGCAGTCTCTGGGACCTCATCGACAAGGACGGCAGCTTCAGGTCAGAAAAAAAAAAACAAGATCATCCCTTTAGTTGACTTCTGGGTACGGAAGTATTGTTTTGGGTGGTGTGTGTGTGTGGGGGGGGGGGCAGGTCAGCCCTGTGGGTTTGTGTGTCTGTTTGTCCTAACAGAGTGGGTTGACAGAGTGCTGATGGCTGTGGATGGCAGTCTCCGGGAGTTCCGCCATCAAACACTAAAGGATTAAAGATATAATACGTACATACATCAGTAATCTCAGGATGCAACTAAAACATCCTACATGTAGTAAGTTAAAAGCTTGGAAGTACACGCAACACAACTGTTCTAAGGGGATTTCCCATGAACAAGACAAATCCTCGCACGTAACTGATGAAAAAGTCAGGATCATGAAAGATTCACCGGACGCCGTCCCCTGTGTCTCGTGATTGATAACGAGAACAGTAACGGTTTAAGACCTCCTAAGATCGAAGCACTTTCTCTCTCAGTAGGAGAAAGTTTATCATGTCTAATCCTTGCGTAGGAGGCACAGTCTTTAAGGAGGCTCAGAATCGCGTCACTTCAAACAACTCGACTTACTGGGAAACCCTCGCGTGCATTAAAGGTGTGCCAGAAATGGATAAGCTAACATCAGCTACTTTTCCCCAGTCGTTAGCGTGACGTAAGAGTGGTATCTTCTACTGAAAGTTCGTGGCTTATCAAGCACGAACCGTATAGACTATAGTTAATGGAAACACACTCTACAAAGACTGAAACATGTTGCATTGCCATCTGCTTCTTGTGAAGCAACTACAGGTAGAAACATATCAGCCGATTACGACGATTATTATATTGATGTTTATTATGATGATTAACATAATAAAAAATCGCATTGGGGGATTTTTGTATCCCGAACCGTGCTGGTTAGTCCGCGCGAATCCAGAACTGAACCTGGGGCAAATATACGTCCTTGGATACGTGGAAACTATCCAGAACCGTGCCTGATGCTAACCCATCCAGGCATAGAACTAAAGCTAAGGTCCCAATTACGCCGGTGCCCATCGAGGATGTAGCCCCGGCTGGCCCCGGCCGGGTTCAGGAGTCGAGCGGGCATCGGCTGTCGTGGTCACAATTAAAAGTATCCTTCAGTAGTATTTTGTTAGAAATTTTGTCACCCTCTTTGGTCGGTATCCGGCAGGCACCCGGCAGGTACCCAGCAGATTCTCTGACGATGTCTTGTATTGACCTATACGTAATGCAGAATTCACGTATTTGTTGTGATCATTTGATCTGTGAGGTCACACATTTTACCCGGGTTTACGAAGTACACACCTTTATTCTGTTCATCTGGTCTGTGACGTAAGAAATGTGTCCCGGTGGAATGCCGACAACCGGAGGGGTACCTCTCGGTGTTCTCACGATGAGGTCACGGCGTCTTTTTGTCAGCGGGGCCCGGGTAGAATTTAACTCAGAATTAAATTCTTATCGGGGCCCCGACGGGCCAAAAAATAGCCCGGTAGCCGCAGGGTGCCCCGCGGGGCCACGTCGGGGTCCCGCCCGAAAGTGGTAAAAAACAGCCCGGGAACTACCCGCCAGGGCCCCTTTTCCCAATTGGGACCTTAGCTTAGATAGGCACGCTTCTGTGTGGTTACGATAGGAATTAACATTCCCTCGCAGCCGTGTGTTGACATCAACCCGTACAAGCCGTGACGAGCTGTCATTTATTCAAACCTAATTCATTAATATCGTCATTACGGGCGCGTAATGATGATTGGAGTCGGCTTGTACGTCAATGTGAAGATTGATGACTCCTGGTCCCTCGGCACCGAGTTACAGGAAAGTGAAACATACCTGGGCAGCTGGTAAACCGTTCTAATTTTAAAACTTTTGTCATGCCTTGAAAGAACGTAAAACGGCGGGTGACATTGACCTCGTATAAAGAGGCTGTGGTGTTAGTCGTCTCTGCATGAGAAAGTCTTCATGTTCAGCCCCCACCAAGCCTTCCTAACGGAGTTAGGAAAGTAGAAAAAAATTTAACGGCTCTCAGTGGCCAATGTGCAGATGTTGTCACATTGGCGTACCAAATACGTAAGGTGTTTTGGGCACCCAAGCAGACAGATTAGCCTAAGAGGCTCAATGGGCGTCACTTCATCGTCTGGGTGGGGAAGTCGTGTAAAGTGCCTTTCCCAAGGGCACAACGTCGGGCCACGGGGAGTATCGAATCCGGGACCTATCGGTTTCGAGTCCAACGCTCTAACCGTTGCGCCACCGACGCCACTGGAAAGTAGAATTCGACGGGTAAAAATAGCGTCTATAATCTGGTAGGGATTGGTTCCGCCGTTTGGGTTTCATTTCTCCCTAGCGTGGGCAAATGGACGCGAAACTCACTAGGCCAATTGGTATCCCTATTTGGCTAAACGTTACTGCTTTTGAATCCGCTTTGTAGGTCTAGGGACTAGAGGAAGTCATCTCTAAGCCGTGTTATTTCCCCTCCCAGTGAGGCAATTTTGGGCCGGCGGGTTCTATATCTGTGTCAGCATAGCCGGTATAACCGCCCTTCGGCGTAACACACCAGCTTCTGTATCTGTATAGCCGGTATAACCGCCCTTCGGTGTAACACAGCAGCTTCGCAGGCACGCGGCGCGGCAGCAGCTAGCTATATCACACCGAACGGCTTGTTACACTCAATCTTTTTTTTTTCTTTTTTTTTTAACAAAGTCGCCATTTGTTTTGGAAATGGTCGGAAAAAATTTCTTGCATTCCTAACGTCCCTCTGAGGTGTTAGTATTGCAAGAAAAATACTCCCGACCTTTTAAAAAAATTTCCGCACATTATACACTCAATCTTTGCACATTTAATTGCAGGAGTTGTTCAAAGCTATCCAGTGATGATACCCCAACTGTGCTTTATGGCAACGAGTTTCGGTCTACGATAGTTCTGGGGAAATTCTAGGGTTCCTGGTTTGCAGGGCGCAGTTTTAGCTCGTCATGTTTTATGCAGCTCGCCCCGCGGGCTTCCCCCCTCCATCAGCCGCGTTAGACAGCAGATAAAGGCGAACGCACGATAACTCTAATGAGCCAATTCGTAACCTGTCGGCAGAGCCTGACGGATGCCGGCTCTCCACATTGTTTCGTAAGTGAAACGAACGTTTTGGGAACGAAACGAGGACGGTTCTTCGCCCATTCGCTTCACCTGGGGCCCGGTTTGGGGGTCCAAACTTAACGCAACAGTCTAACGTCTAGCTGTGCAGCCTATGGAGATATGACGACGTTAATGCACGTGTCTATATTCATCATATTCCAAATCAAAACAATCCGCGCCGAAAGGTAGAGGATTAGGATTATGTTTTGCTCTTTCGGTATAATGTTAAAATGTAAACCAATGTTGACGGCGGCTTAGCTAAAGCTGAATACCGTGTTTTAGATTAAAATGTTTGTACCTGTATTAAAAAACGATTCTGACAAATTTCATTAACGATGACTTGGCTATCTTCATTTTCAATACTATTTCATTCTTTAGTATTTTTCTATGTACTGTAAACACGCTTGGCTAATTAAATGATTAGTCTAAGTGTGTTCTTTCGTTGAAGTCTTGCAAATGTGTGGAAACCGACATCAACGCTAGTCGCAAGTCTCAACAGATCCGCTTCTTTATTATTCATTTATTTTTCTTTATTCAGATGAGATGTACATCAATTTATTATTTTTTTTATTCCAACAATTCATGGCACTCCAACAATTTATAACAACTTATTTATGCCGCTACCTACGCAGAGGGAAAATACAGGACAGGACAATGCTCATTTTCACTTAAGAAGTAAGGAAAGTCGTTTTAATTTAATTGCTATTTGCATCCTCAAATCCTCTCCAGCACCCTGAAGACGGCCATCCAGACCGCCGGTCTCGTCGATGTCTTCAAGAACCCGGCCGTGTTCACCGTCTTCGCTCCGACCAACGAGGCGTTCGAGAACCTCCCCGCGGGCGCGCTGGACGAGCTGCTCGCCAACTCCGAGGACCTGGCCAACCTGCTGCAGTACCACGTCATCGGCCAGATGTGGCACCGCAAGGCCATGCGGCCCAACATCAAGTACCGGCTGCCGTCCGTACAGGTAAGGCTTACAATGTATGTGCATGTAAGATAGTCCGTACAGGTAAGGTTTCTGTACAGATAAGTCCCTCCGTAAAGGTAAGGGCGTCCGTACAAGTACATTTTGTAAGGCCCCCGTGCAGGTAATGCCATCCGTACAAGGGAGGCCGTACGTCCAGGTACATTTTGTAAGGCCTCCGTACGGGTAAGGTGGTCGGTACAGAGAACGTCGTCCGTACAGGTAATGTTCATTTTCTCATTCGTGTTCGGCGCTCTAAATAAGTTGAAAACTGCTTTGTCGTCAATTCCAACATTATGTTCAAGATTACAAGATTCACCCATTCATTCCCCCCAGGGAGAGAAGCTTGAGCTGGTTCGCGCCAAGGACGAGGAGAGTAACGAGTACGTGGTGACGATCAACGGCAAGGCGAAGATCACGCAGGGCGAGACGCTGGCGTCCAACGGGCTGCTGCACGTCATCGACCAGGTGCTGGTGCCGGGACAGAAGGGCAGGAACGGCGCCGCAGGAGCCGGGGAAGGAGAGGGCAACAACCTGGTAGGTTAACCTCTACCAGGCTTCGGTAGGCGACTGGAAAGAGTAGAAATTGGCCAAATTGAGAGAGAGCATGCTAGCGGACCAACTCCCCTGGCATGTTATCTCTCTATTTGGCCATATTGTACTCTTTCCAGCCGCCTTCCGAAGCCTGACAGCGGCTAGTGTGCGACTGCCTACCATCCAACAGCCTGGTAAAGGCTATAGGTAACTGTAGCCGCAGCTGCCATGGTGGAGGGGTAGGGGATCCAAGATGGCGGCCGGATCCAAGATGGCGACCGGTCTAGGAAAATATGTGATTGTTAAATCTGGTGGGTTCTAAATATGCAGAATCAAACTATAATAGATCGGTTCAAAATTGTAACAATGGCAACGGAGGGCGTGACGGTGGGCTCGGTGGGCCAAGATAGCGACGGTCTAAAAAAATCACGTGTTTGAACTACTAGTATTGTAGTTCAAACTACATTTGACAATGTTTCTTTGGTTGGATCCGTCAAGGTTGTAAGTCAGTTTGAAATGTTACCTTACAGATCAGTGTGATTAACGGTGCTGGTGAGACCGTGGAGGGCGGCGCCGGTGGCGAAGGCAGTGTGAGCGTGGGAGGAGGAGGCGGCGGCGAGGGCGGCAGCGTGATCGTTGGCGGCGGGGAGGGCGCCAGTAACGTGGTGACGGGAGACGGTGGTCCTAGGGTCATCAAGGTCACCAGCAGAGTCACCCTGCCCGGCTCCGGACCCTCCATCTGGGACAGTATCGACCAGGACGCCGACTTCAGGTGAGAGGAGCCTTTTCAGTCCTTTTTGTGCAGTCCAGTGTACTAGTATTGGCCAGGATGCCGACTTCAAGTGAGTCATATCCGTCCTTACTGTGTAGTCATTAGAGTCCAGTGTACCAATATTGGTCAGGATGCTGACTTTAGGTGAGAGGGGCCCTTATCGGTCCTTATTATAATTATTGTGTTGGTCATTTGAATCCAGTGTACTAGCAATGGCAAGGGTGCCGACTTCAGGTTTAGTCATTCCTTTAGATACCTCTATCAACCGAGCATTGATGGCACCTCTTCCATCTATCCGCAGTATCCTGAAGTCCGCGATCTCCACTGCTCAGCTGGAGGAGATGTTGGACAGGCCCGGGACCTACACCTTCTTCGCGCCCACAGACCGCGCCTTCAACGCGCTGCCTGAGAACGCACTGCCCAACCTGCTGGCCAACCCGGAACAGCTCTCCGAGATCCTGGAGGTACGTTTGGGATAGAATTGTTCAAAACAGAACGAAATAGAACACAAGAGAACAGACTAAAACAACTCTCCAAGATCCTGGAGGTGCGTTGGAGATAGAATAGTGCAAAACAAAAAGGAAGAGAACCGAATAAACAATTTTGCGAGGTCCTGGAGGTACTACGTTCGTTTGCGATAGAATAGGACAGAACACAACCATGAAGAATATTTTATGATAGTGTAAAATAGAACAAAATAGACGCATCTCTTTACGTTGCGCCAATTTACGTAGTATCTTTAATGATACTATAGAATAAAAAAAATAACACATGTCTGTGTCGCTGTGTTTAATTTCAGTACCACGTGGTTGAAAACGTCCTGAACAGCAAGGCTGTGTCTCCAGGCGTGGCCATCCCCCTGGCAACCCTGCAGGGCGGCCAGGTGACGGTCCGGAACGTGAACGGCGTGGTGACCGTGAACTCCGCCACCGTCGAGCGCGCCGACCTCATCAACACCAACGGCATCATCCACGTCATCGACAAGGTCCTCATCCCCTAGTCCTCTCGCGAGATCGCGCGAGGTTCTCGCGAGACCCTCCTGGTCAGGTGACGTTCTGACGAGTCACCGACGAGATTCCGCGAGAAAGAGTCCCTTGTTCCGTGTTAGTATCTAGCATAGCGAACCTTGTTAGGTTGTTATTGTAATTTCATACATACACGTCTTTGCTCATTGTACGTTTAACGGATATAAAAATGAATAGGAATTTGTCTTAAGAGTATACAAGAAGTAAAGAATGATTAAGATTCGATTTTTTAAGTGCAACATTATACCTGTTATCTCCGTTGGACCAAAGTATGATTAAATGGTGCTATATTGATAAAAAGAAACATTCTATGCCGTCTCTAACAGTTCTATATTTTACCGGACTTAATAAATAAACAGTTATTACGATCGTCGGCGTGCCGTGTCAATGCGTGACTGTGATTTTTTTTTCATTCTATTCCATTTATTGATTCTATGTATAATAAGAAGTTTATTGCAAATTCGTGCCCTGAGGCTAGTTGCAAATTATACAAACATAAAAGAACATTGAAACAGAGTATAAAATAACTAAAATCTACATCGAGATGTAGAATTGATTAATGACTTACTCACTGTGGGACAGACTTGAACAACATCCATTATACTAGTACAACTTATTCTAAGGGCCATGCACAGTTTGCACACACAGGGATACAAAAAACAATACCTTTATTTTCCATGAAGGTAACAGAACCACATCCACAGCAACATATTCTAAGGGCTATGCACGTTTTGCACACACAGGCAGACCAAAAACAATACCTTCATTTTCCATGGAGGTAACAAGTCCGACTCATCAAGAAGACTGCTACTCTCCATTGAACCAGAGGTTTGGGTTTGGGGAAATTTTGGGGTGTTTTTATCGGGGTTTCTTTTTTGCACTGGAATTTTTTTCATCCAACAAAGAATCCCAGTGCAAAAAAGACACCCCGATGAAAAAAGCCTAAAACACGTCAAAATTTCCCCAAACCCAAGAGTAGAAGACTGCAAAGGAGGCTGACTAGACTAGTGGGGACTGTGACAGGGTGTGTAACCAGGTGACTCCAGACCACTGCCCTGTTCTATCACCGTGAAGCATTAGCTGAGAACCACCTTCATTTGGTGATCACTCAATCACGTGTCTATGCCATGTTCAAGTTCAATATCGCTGATCCGTCACTGCGCTAATATCGCCATTGATCGTGGACAGGATTGTACATTCCGAAAATCGAAGAGCCGCTAGAGTTTTTCTTTAAGCCGAGGTATTACCTACCCTTACATCCTCCCATTTATCAAGTATATCAAGTATGTTTCCCAATACAAGCCCGGATACCGAAGCGGCACCAACTTGCTGTAAAACGTCCTTTGATAGTATACGGAAAAGGTGGGTTTTAATGTGGTAGGCGCCAAATGGCTTAAGCGTCGACGTCGAATAGCCGAGTTGACGTTGTGTCCTAGGGAAAGGCACTTTGCACGACTTTTCTCACTCCATCCAGGTGTAAAATGAGTACCTGACTTCGGTTTGGATGGTAAAAGGAGAGGGATGGGCTCCGCTTTCTAATACCATGCCCTAGACACAGTGGATAACAATCCACTGCCTCTCCGGTCTGTAAAAGCTATGGGACTACATTATATACCTTTTCCTTTATTTAGTAACAGCAAGATAAGGCCATGTTGATTTGATTATATGGATGACATCCTCTGGGAACTCCAAAACTGATGCGCGCGTGCGAATAAAAAAAAAGTTTTGACAAAAAAAAAAGTTGCTTTCACTATGAAATCTACGTGGTCATGAAGGTTGAACAAATGGCACAGAATATGTTATGGCGAATAATCTACTCTTCGAATTCATTTCTTTACATTTTTGTCTTTTTTCCTTTGATTTTGGCATTCTACGACATTGGTATCGTTTCTAAATGTTTTCCTTGCAACTTATGGTATATTTTTGCTCATTTAGCAACTGTTTTGCACGATTTACAGTATGGTTGAAAACTTTTTTTTTTGGAAACGGCCGAAAATTCATGCGCGCGGATGTCATCCATATAATCAAATCAACATGGCCTAACTGATGGCCGATGGTATCTGTACGTGTATCTGTACAGCCAGTATAACCGCCTCTAGGCGTAACACACTAGATGTATCAGTTTGACGTATCGTCCCTTTACTTTGAGACTGATCATAGTTCTCTTCTGAATGAGCTGTGAATCTGCTGGCTTTCATCACATTGTATTGCCCTGCGGTATATATCAGGCCGGTATCGGCAACCTTTTGTCGGTGGGTAGACATCGCAGCGCCTGTTTTCTACACATACAGTAAGCTAGGGGGTCCTGGCCTGTCTTCTCTTGGGCCCTGGCCTGTAGCAATCTGATAATAGCACTTGATACAGTGTAAACCCCCAAAGCACCGGTCACAGAGCTTGCTGTGAAAGCTCGAGATCAGCAAGCAGAGCTATAGGTACTCAAGGAAAGCATAGTGTTTTTGCTTTGTTTCCTCTTCTACTCCAAACCTGAACCAGACTGCCTGTTACCGTAGCTGTGAGTCTTCTGGCTTTCATCACATTGCGGTATATTACGGTATCGGCAAACTTTTGTCGGTAGGTATATAATACTGGTTTATTTCTTTCATACTATACGGTACAGAGTAGCAGGGTCCCCGTAGAGCCCTGAATTGATCTGTCGCATTACACAAATTCTTAAAAATGGTTGGCACAAATATTACAAGCGATTATTAAAGACAGTTAAAAACAGCAATTATTAAAAGTATTTACAATAGGTGGCGATCATAATCAAGCGGTTAAAAACAGCAAAATTGTTAAAATATTTACAATAGCATATACCGTGTCATTACAGATTGTTGTATCATCTCAGCGCCAAAAGAAGTAAGCCGTACGTCCTCCCTTCTGGGTCGGATCTTCACGGGATCTGCCCGGCAGTAAACACGGCGTCGTCTGGGTGCTTCATTTGAAGACGAACAACAAACATTTTATTATGGATTGTCCACTATATAACGACAAACGCACAAAGCTGTTCAACTTTCTCAAAATCGCTCAACAGAATGTGTTACATGTCATGCTATAGATCAATTCAATTTCATCCTAGAAGGTAATAACCCTTACCGTGTACAAAAAGGTAAATATATCAAAGAATGTTTGGACCTTAGAAGAAGTAGTATAAGTTGACTCATCTATTGTTTTGTACGTAACTTAATTTCGTTGTACCCATGTATCTGTCTGTATGTCTACATGTAGTTGTAGACCTTACGAAAGTCGCTATACATTTGTTGTGTCAATAAAGTTCTCTCTGTGAAAAAGAGAACAACTTTATTGCACGACAATCATACATGGCTCAATGTGTTTGCACCAACTATTGAACGGTACAAAATAGAGGTTTGGAATAAAACGTATGATCATTAGTATGCATTGGCAGTCGTATATGCACAGTATATTTGGCAAGACCAACGTTATGATATCTACAGAGAGCGGTTAGGGTCAATATATGGATATAACACTTGAATTGTACCGCTGTGTTATTTGTGTACCTGATATGTACTCCTGCATATAGCCCTTGTACCACTGTGTACATAATATGTATATACGTACCCCTGTATATACCCTTTGTACCGCTGTGTACATGATATGTACATCTGTATATACCCCTTGCATCGCTGTGTTATTTGTGTACCTGATATGTATTCCCGTATATAACCCTTAACCCTTAAGCTTGTATCGCTGTGTTATTTGTGTACCTGATATGTACCCCCGTATATACCCCTTGTACTGCTGTGTACTTGATATGTACCCCTGCATGTACTGATATGTTATTTGTGTACGTGATATGAACCCCCGTATATAACCCATGTATAGCTGGGGTACAAATTTGCAGTCTCGTCCCTCGCCCGTGACCCTCTGACCTTGAATAGCGCGGATGACAGAAGAGGGAATTGCGCACTGGAAATGAAATACGGTTCGATCCGCGATCCGGCATCCCGCATTCTGCCGCCGTGCTACAGGGGTGCCAGGGTACACAGTGCAATTTTGCGGAATACAGTGCAATCTTACGGAATACAGTGAAATTTTACGGAATAGAGTGCAATCTTACGGAATATAGTGCAATTTTAAGGAATACAGTGCAATTTTACAAAATACAGTGCAATCGTATTAGTATACAGTGCAATTTTGCAATTTTTACGGAATACAGTGCAATCGTATTAGTATCAGTGCAACTGTACGGAATATAGTGCAATCGTATTAGTATACAGTACAGTTTTACGGAATACAGCACAATGGTATTGGTATAGAGTGCAAATTTACAAGTAGAATTGCACTGTATACTAGTAAACTTGCACTGTATATTAAAACTGTATTCCGTAAAATTCTACTGTATACTAATACGATTGTACTGTATTCCTTAAACTTGCACTGTATACTAGTAAATAAACTGTATTCTGTAGAATCCACTGTATACTAATACGATTGTACTGTATTCCGTACAATTGCACTGTATACTAATACGATTGTACTGTATTCCGTAAAATCGCACTGCATACTAATACGATTGTACTGTATTCCGTAAAATTGCACTGTATACTAGTAAAATTGCACTGTATTCCGAAAAATTGCACTGCATACTAGTAAAATTGTACTGTATTCCGTAAAATTACACTGTATTCCGTAAACTTGCACTGTATTTCGTACAATTGCACTGTATACTCTGGCACCCCTGTGCTAGCTTCTGCTGCAGCTCGGCGATGAGGAATGGCGATCTCCCGCTGCAGCGTTATAAACCGGGCTATTCATCGGGATGGAGGCGTACTTAACCTGCGGATGGCTTCCAGGGGAGCGCTCGTTCGATCTCGCGCGTTCTCGCGAGGGCTGCCTAACTTCGCGAGAACTCAAGTTCTACAGCTTATGTGCTTTCACGTGTTAGTTGATGTCATAAAGTGCTTTGATTTTGGATGGTTCAGCTTGGTCATTTTTCTTCTTTTAAACTGCAAATAACTTGTTGGGGATCTCTCGCGCGCGATCTCGCGAGGTTTCATAGCGGCAAGGCATGCCTAACTTCGCGAGAACTTGTACGTTTGTGAGCTTCTTTCCCGCGTTATGCTAAAAAAGTGCTAATTGGTGCTCATTGTCAACATTTTTTTTAGTGTTTTGTTGTCTTTTATATCATTTTTATTTGATCTCAAAAACTGCCTGGCCGGGTCCTGGGCTCAGAACAGTGACTTTAGCATTAAGTTGATATATTATGACAATTTACACAATGTTGGCCTGAACATTTACCCCTTTTAGACACAATGAAATATACCAACACAGATGAACTTTCATGCTAAGATTAAGTTGATGTATTAGATTATCATGAAGGGCTTTTGAAACGTTTTAATATTCGGCTTAGCCATTTTCTCTTTACATCCATCATTGATCATGACAGTCTGCCCGTGAATCCATCATAATTGCTCATCAGCGGAAAATTAGCGCGTTAATATGCAGCGTTCCGGGCACCCCGCGTCTGAGCCTTCTCGGAAAGGGTGATCGCAATTAACTTCCGGGAAGCCAAGGTCAAGTTCAGCGGCTCAAGTTCAGCTGCTGGAAGGTGGTGTAAGTGATGGCGGCCTGGCACCAGCTAATGCTGAGGTCACATTTACAAACCGGGGCCCTGCCGGGCTGTGTCGAGTAACGAAAAATCAACAATTTATATCAATAATATATCCAAATAATTACCATTATCAATTTTTTCAATTTCTTTGTGAAATGTGACCTTAGCATAATACGGGTGCACAAGTCTAAAACGTCCTTTTGAACTTGATTAGAAAATTCAAGGACATAATGTGGCAACCCTATCTATTAGTAAGATTATCCGTATTGAATTGTATACAGTTATGTACCAATAGTAAATATCGTACTTTGTACCTTTTACAATCGTTATGCAGTGAATAACTAAATAAATGCGAACACAAAGGGCGATAGAAGTACTAACTAGTTCTACTCTTGGACTATCAGCAGGACTATCAACAGGACATATTGGACTATAAACTGGTGGACGCACCAACCACTAAGTATCTGATACCAGCCCAGAAAAGAACAAGAAACAGTCATGCCTTCAAATATCAGAGTTAACAACCAAGAATCGAGGTGTTCAAAAACTCGTATTTCCCCAGAACTATCGTAGACTGGAACTCGTTGCCACTAGGCACAGTTGGGGCATCATCACTAGAATGCTTTAAACAACTCCTGCGATTAAATGTGCGAAGATTGAGTGTAACAAGCCGTTCGGTGTGATATAGCCAGCTGCCGCCGCGACGTGTGCCTGTGAAGCTGGTGTGTTACACCGAAGGGCGGTTATACCGGCGATATTGATGCAGATACAGAACAGTAGATCATCTGCCCCCTGAAACAGCCCCTTTAATATTAGCCTTACTACTACTTACGAATTCAGGTAACGACTTGAGAAACTTACAGGCAGAAGGCTGGTGATGTATGTCAATGATTTTCCTGAGAAAGTTGATTTGATTCAAGCTTCGTGAAAATCCGATACCATTACAACGTGCGCATACAGCCCATTATACACAAATCTAGATATAGTGAATGATATTGCACTGCTAGTAGTGACCAGGGGAATCCATAGCCCCCATTATGTTCATAGACGGATTCGTGGCAGTGCTTCTTGTGTTTTTATCATGTGCTGTATTCTGATTAATGTCGGTTTTCTACACATACAGCTAGCTAGGGGACCCTGGCCTGTAGCAATCTGATAACAGCACATGATACAGTGTAAACCCCCAAAGCACCGGTCACAGAGCTTTCTATAAAATCCAAGGGATCTGCAAGAATAGCTATAGGAACTCTAAGTAGAGGTTTAGGCTTGGGCATATTTTTTGACGTTATTTTAGGTGTTTTTACATCGGTCTGGTACCGTTTTTGTTGCCAACCAAACGGGGATGTAGCAGATACTGTTTTTCCAATTTGATACTGTCTTGACGATTTGATCCTGTTTTGTCGATTTGATACTGTCTTGCCATTTCAATACTGTTTTGACAATTAATACAGTATTGTAGCTACCAAAACATCTGCTTGGAGATGAAGCTATATGTTGAGGTCACATTTCCAAACCAGGGCCCAGCCGGGCTGTTTCTATTAACAAAAAATCAACAATTTCTATCAATAATATACGTAAATAGCTCCCATTCTTAGATTTTTAAATTTTTTTGTGCTTTGCTCTCTTTTATATCATAGTTTTCGTTCCAGAAGACCCCGGTTTGGAAATGTGACCTCAGCAATAGGAAGAATGACGACACCTCGGTGCAGGCGGTCATCAGAAATCTCGCAAAACCGTCAGGCCAGGCGCCGGGAGGGACGGGAGCCGTCAGAACTGGAGGAAGGGTCAAGATTTCCATCGGTCATCGGCGGGAGGGCAGGCAGAAAAGCGGGGGCGTTCACCCCAACCGAAATCATTATCGCTAGGGTCACATTTCCAAACCGGGGCCCGGCCGGGCTATTCGCATGAACGAAAAATAAACAATTCAGATTAAAGATATACACAAGTAGTAGTCGTGATTAGTTGGTGAAGGTTGGTCGTGATTAATTTTTTCTAATTTTTCAACTTTATGCTTTGTTGCCTTCATCATTATTTGTTCCAACAAATAAACTCCCTTACAGAATAATAGCAATAACAATAAAGATGAACTGATTATTACTTGTTTATTTCTTTTAATTATGACTTGCGAAGGGAGCTTTATTAAGGTAGCTAAGTATATAAATCATTGTGCTATTCACTATGATGTACTTAAAGTGACATAGAGAAAATGGTTATGTCAGCAAAGTTGTGAATATGTCAGTCTTAACAAAACCTAAAGATCTTTTATTCTTTTGCGGTGATGCATCTGTCTGGGATACAAACGAGAATCATTATTATGCTCGTTAAAACGAGTTCCTAATTATATAAACACTTTAGTATCTAATTTGTGATGGGAATTTTATTGAGATGACGAGTACTCGTGTGGAAATGCGAATGTAAATCAGTGCCATGATCGTTGATGAGAATAAAATGTTTTGTATTTGTTATTTCAACCTGTATTTTGTATGTTTTATGTTCTTGAACAAGGGATCTTATAAGCTCGCACGAGCTTGCCATCCAATGCGCATAAATCCATGTGAATAGAATAGTAAAATGTGTTTCTCATAATGATACAAAACTTTCAAACTGGAAGAGATCGTCAAGATATTTTAACATATTCCTGAAGACCGCTGGATATAATTCTAACGAATGAAGAATGGTTCAAAGAATATAGAATGTTTAAAGAATTAAACAAATGCAAAATCTATACATTCATGTGACAATAATTATGCGCATATGTCGATACAAGTGAAAGTGCCGATACAAGTGAAAGTGCGCGTGCTTTATAACGTCTTCAGGTGACGGGAGGTTTCCTCGGCCATGCATCATCCAGGAGCTCCTCATTGTGGATGCGGGCTGCCGTTTTTGGATATTTATGTGTTATATATGATGATGATACAGAAAAACGTTCAAACTGGAAGAGATTGTCAAGTATTCCTGACGACTTCTGGATATGATTTTAAAGAATGATGAATTATAATGGTTCAATGGATAGAGAATGTTTGAAACAAATTAAAATGGAAAATCTATATATTGATGTGGCGATAATTTAGCGGGCAAGCCGGTATATTGATAAAAGTGAAAGTACCGATAAAAGTGAAAGTGCCGATACAGGTGAAAGTGCGCGCGCGTTTTATAACGTCTTCAGGTGGCCATGCATCATCCAGGAGCTCCTCATTGTGGATGCGGGCTGCCGTTTTTGGATATTTATGTGATCCCGTCACGTGAGAGTGTACAGGATCGTGGGACGAACCATTTTTGCGCGGTGCGCAGGTCCCTCCGACTCCCAACCTACCCGCAGATCCGCACCACAACACTGAGGAGAGGAATCCGGGTAAATCATGACTAATCACTCCCGCAAATCCGATCCGCGGCAGACGGCCGCTCGCGGAGGACGTAAACAGACGTGAGACTGTGAGAGATCTGTACACAGTTGTACGTGTGTGTACGCGCGGGACATATCGCACGGCAGTCCCGGCTAGGAACACCCCCGTGCCGCGGTACCTTTCTTCCATCCCTCCCGCACGGCACGCGGAGTGCGCACACACACCAGCAGCAGGAGGGGCCTGAGGAGGGAAGTCCGATACTTTCTTAAATCTCAGACTAAGATGGAGGACGGCGGTGGGGAGGCTGCGGACTGCAGGCGATGAGGCTGGACGCTGCGTGAAGTTACATCACTGGGAGGAGACTGTAATGTACATGTACTGTAGTGTGGTACCGTGATTCTGCTAGCTAACTGAGATTTTGGTGCATCGGTGCGGCTAGGTAGGCCCATGAGGGGTTGAGGAGAAGTGACGTTCCGTACGTAGTTTGGTGGGTAAATCAGTGCACAGCCTGCACAGGCACGTGTGTGTGTGTGTAAGCAGCTAGCGCGGGGTGAGCCAACCAGGCTCCAGTCGGACCAGTTTCCAGCAGTACCAGTGAGCAGCAGACAGACATTACCACCATGTCGCGGGACCTCCACGCCACCGCCTGCCTCCTGGTGCTGACGCTCCTCCCTTTGGTGTGAGTACCGTGATTTCTTCTTCTTCCTCCTCCTTCTCTCTCCTCTCTCCCTCAATACTCAATACCGTCCGGTCCAGCTATATCGATCCTGTCGTGCTGTATGTATGTACATGTATGTACGTAGTGTATGGCGGGGTGAAGCCTCGGCTTTGTCCATTTCCCTGATTACGTCTACACAGCGTTGTTGTATAGGGGACAGGGAACAACATGAAAAACACTTGGTTCAATCAGCAAAGCCGCGAGTAGCCGTGGTGTAGATTTAAGTCACCGCAAGAACGATACCATCCAACCAGCCCGGCTAACAGCCTTTTCCCATCACCCTAACCTTAGCATTGCCCTTAGATATAGCCTAAATACCCCCCCCCCCTCCTCCAAAGCTAACCTAGCCCCGGTACCCCCATAACTTTAAACATCCCCATCCTACATGCAGTCTCCTGCACCGTGACATATTCATCGACTTGGTTGCGATTATGACGTGAAATTTTCGTTCGCGCGTCGATGTAGAGCTAAACCTGCGTGGTTATCCCCTTACAACATGCCGCATTCATCCGTCAAAAATACCCAAGCCTTCGTGATATGCTGGGGCATAAAGTTCCCATATTATAGGTAGACAAGCTCGACTCCATTGTGTTGGTCTTTTCTTCACAAGCATAAACTATGCAAATTAGTAACGTTCTACGTTATGTATATTCACACACGTACTTGCAACTACTACCACTACATACCCTTTATTTATATTAATGTTGAGAGATGTGAAAAACTGCATGTGTACATCGAATCGCTAGCCAAAAACCTTGAGAGCGAGAAAAATATATAGATAATCTATAGTTTCGCGGCGATTTAGCGATCATCCGATACGGATTTAACAGCTATGATAGACTGACAGGCCAATTCATCAAGATAATGTCCTCCTCACATGTCTCAGAGCAGTCGTTAAATCAGATGAACACATTATCGAAAAAAAAAATCAAAATTAACAACAAACAGTGAAGATGTCCTGTAGCTAGTCTTCAGCGAGTAACAGACAAACTGTCATTGCATAAGACTTCATCAGCAATTTTGCATGAAGCCGACGGTTTTGTGTTGTGTTTGTGGTAGTTTCTCCCCGGAAGCAGATACAATCGATTCCCGATCCTTCTCCGATCGGAGACCGTTACGACTCGACCAATAACGCAGCCATTATTTAACAGCGTGACGTATTAAGACGCACGCAGGCCGGAGGGCGATATTCCGCGCCTTCCGCACCAGCCTCCATCCCGCCTAGCCTCCTCCTATCCCCACAGATTCTGCCTAACTATACGACTATGGATAATAAGAACGTTGTCCAAGACGTAGTCAGTTGGGGGACCCTGCGGCAAGCAGCTAGATAAATCACAGCCAACATTTATGAGCTCGTTTCCCTTGCAATTTTAATCTCGGACTCCCCGCGCCGGCTCTGTTTGCTTTGTTTCCAACGCCACGCAGAGTTAGACCGAGTTCTGTGGATAACAAAAGATAGATGCTAGACATTCTGCACGTATTGTGATTATACGAACCGCCCCTGCACGCGCCATATCATCACAAGGGATCCATTATCATACATGATCATTTTTGTGCGAAGTAAAACCTAATACGACTATACTACATAATACAGCGCTGGAATTCCATTGCTAAGTGCTTATACATAACCATAGGCTAGCCTCCACAGCATGTCAAAAACTGGAGGTTTCGGGGGTCTTCATGGTCTTTGGGAGCTTTTATGTGCTATTTTCTGATTGCATATAGACAACATAGCCGGTCTAGTTGAATTACCCCCAGTTTTAGAACTAGGCTAATCAGAAAACAGCCGAAGATCACCAAAGCCTCAGTTCTATAAGCCTGCTACGGCCGGAGACTAGACATAGGCCCCCCTTCGAAGCCCCATTCTCACTGTACGTATATTCCACCCGCTAAGGTTTATTTTTCACCAGTTTAACACCCTTCACGCGCCGGTTAGGCCGACCCGGCCACATGCGGACAGATCATTTGTGCTTACTGCACAGACTGAGCGGATGGAGGTTCACGCCGCTCATGGGTATGCATGTCTCGTACCACCACTGCTGCTGCGGTATGCAGGCAATGGGTACCGACCTGAACGATCTCAAAATTACGTCCCCCGCTAAAAAAAGAGACATTATATTAATCATATTCTCTCCCAGGAGTAGGTCATTAGCAAAACAAAAAGCACAATCAATATTTAAAAGAAATATCTAATTTTATGTGACTGCTTTGATTGAACGATGAGACTGCTTACTGTTTTGAATTTGATCACATTTTGGGACTGCATGCCTCGTACCTCCACTGCTGCTGCAGTATGCAGGCAATGGGTACCAACCTGTACAGACTAGAGCGATGTTCCCAGCTAAAAAGAAACGTGAATCGTATTCCAAGGAGTAGATCATAAGCAAAACAAAAACCTACAATTGTGTTTTTTTTTTAAATAAGAAATGTCTGTCACCATAGAGATGTTTTGATCTGACCAATGAGAAAATGTTGGTATGTTTACTGTTTGGATTAGATAATGTCCAGTTTGTGACCACCTGCACTGCTGCTGCAGTGTGGCGGCAATGGGTACCAACCTGAATGATCTCAAAACTACGTCCCCCGCTAGAAAAAAGAAACATGAGATGAATCTTATTCCTAGGAGTAGATGATAAGCAAAATAAAAACGTACAATTGTTTTTAAAAGAATGCTTTGATGTGACCGACAAGACAATGTTAGTATGCTTACTGTTTTGAATTTGATCACATTTTCGTACCAGCACTGCTGCGGTGTGCAGGCAATGGGTTCCAACCTGAACAGCCCAGGGTGGTCTTAAAACTCTGTTCCTCCCTAGGAAAGAAGCATGAGATGTATGTTATTTTTTCCCAGGAATAGATCATACGCAAAACAATAACTTACAATCGTTTTGTAAATAAGTGCCTTTTACTATGAGGATGTTTGATGCGACAGATGAGACAATGTGGGTCTGTTTACTGTTTTGAATTTGATAATGTTTATGGGTACCAACCTGTACAGGCCAAAACGATCTTAAAACTCTGTTCCCCGCTAAGAAAGAAACATGCAATTAATCCTATTCTCTCCCAAGAGTAGATAATAAGCAAAATAAAAACGTACAATTGTTTTTAAAAGAAATATCTATGGGGCTATGGGGATGCTTTGATGTGACCGACGAGACAATGTAGGTCTATTTACTGTTTTGAATTTGATAATGTTCATGGGTACCAACCTGTACAGGCCAGAGTGATCTCCCAGGAGTAGATCATAAGCAAAACAAAAACATAAAATTAATTCTTTTCTATGTGACTATGGGGATGCTTTGATGTGACCAATGAGATTTTACTGTTTTGAATTTCATAATGTCTATGGGCAGGCAAGAGCTACCACAGTCTATTCCCCGCTAAAAAAGAAACATGAGGTGAATCTTATTCTCTCCCAGGAGTAGACCATAAGCTAAATGAAAAAAGCACAGTCGTTTTGTAAATAAATTTGCATGACCAAAGTCTGTTAACGTTACCATGGGGATACTTTGATGTTACCGATGAGACACTGTTGGTCTTTTTACTGTTTTGAATTTGATGTGTAGTGTGTGATCACATTCTTAACTGAACCGGCGGTAAAATTACCAGACGCCGTTTCGTAATTGTAAACATGTTGTCAGACATTGTGATACTTTTAGCAATAGAAAATTTCACAGATGATTATGATTACCCCAAATCCCTCCTTTGTCTCGCCATGCAGTGCACTGAATATGGTTGATTGTTATGTCGTTCTCGGGAGAGTTCAAGTGTTGATACGGTATGAATTATGCTCTGCTGAAATGAACCAATTCCGGTTACAAATAATGATTAGAAGTGAGCCGGTTTTCCCCTCGCTGGTTGGATGGTTTAGATTGATTTGTATATATATTTGCAGATTTTAATTCCTGCCGGCTCGAGTTGATTCATTCATTTCTCGGGCTGCGGACCCGCTCCAAATTGAATTGCGCCGCTAGGGAACGTCCCGTTACATGGCATTCAATTACATCTGGGGCCATCAGAGCAAGTTAAGCAACATCTGGTCCGGTCAACCTCATTGTTTCCCACCTTCTCGGTAACTAACACACTCTCTGCTTCCCTCTCCATGCGCTACTAACGTCCCATTTTCACCCCGATCTCATCTAGGATTTATCCTGAAAACTACAACACCAGCACACAGCAACACCACCCCGCACCCAACATCCACCCCCCTCGGCCGACACGCCACCCCCTTACAAAATATTCAATAATCTATCGATGTTATTATTATAAGTGCCTGTCGGTGAAGTGTCTGGGCGATAGGCCAGGGCTCGTGGCCAATCAATGAGGGGAGAAATGTAGAAAGGGTTGCTGGTGGCAACAGCCGGGGACGGA